ATATCCAATGAATAAAGTATGAAGTTAGAATGGCCTGGAACTTACTCAACCAGAATAGTGAGAATGACTCATTCAATACGCTGTGCGGACACTGTTGCAAAACATGTCATCACATTTATTTCTCGTCTCATTATATATTAACTTCAATACTATATCCTTCTGTTTGCTAAGCATTGGGACTGTAAATATGCCACCTTCTGATGTTTTTGTTTTAAGATTAGTTAGCACACATTTACTCTATTCTTATGCGAGTGTTTCAGTCAATTATATGAAAGTGTCTGGGGGTTAGATTTGCTTGTAAACCATATAGGTCTCCACTGTCAAAAGGTATAATACTCACCTTCACAGATTAAAATCCCACCAGACAATTTTTTTTATACAACTGAAATAATTTTTCATTCCTATTCAAGAACTGGTTTTATTATTTATCTATTTGTTTATATTGTGTGTACAGTGCTACGCAGCAAACCATATATATATATATATATATATATATATATATATATATATGTATATATATTATATATGTATCTATAAGGTCTAATGCATGTAAATAAACCGTGTTACCAACTCGAATCCATAGGTGAAGTGTCCAGTGGGATTAGATGGGTGTTAATGTTCCCAAAATTAAAGAGGATAAATCATCATTGCATGTTTTTCAGTCCTTGCATTGAAAGTTAATGTAGGCCTACGTTTCTTTACGATAAAGCGTAATTATTTTTCATACTTCAGTCGGTATACAATTACTACCAACTGCTTTATTGTTTGAGACACTTTATCTTGATATGTCTTGGCCTAATGATACTGTACCACCCGATTGACGAGAGGAGGCCACAATATTTAATTCATTTATTTATAGGCCATGAAATACTCGCACCTAGGGCTGAAACATAGTGTAACCACTTCACAGCCTGTCAACAGTGCAAACTGGGGTAACTAAGCATGGCCGGCCGAGAATGGTCAGCGTGTGGCTCGAACCCTCGACAACGACGTTAAGAACTGAAAATAAAAATCGCTGCGCCAAGCCACCTTTCCCAATAGTAGTTCACCCATTGTAAAACAACGATTGTATTGATGTGATTTTCATTTATTATGAGTTTGAAATCAATGGTGGTTTGTCTAAAAATTACTTTCATATTGTTTCATATATTGTAACTTGCCTTATTTAAATAGGTTGTCATTATTGGAGATGTTAAGTAAAAAGAAAATTCACGACAAAGTAGTAACCGTAATCAAAGATAAGAATAATCAACTCCGTAATAATTTTGATTATCTAAGATCTGGTAGACGTCTTAGAGCTACACTTTTCAAATACTTTTGTTCCATACTCTATCATTCTTTTCATTAGACCAACGTATTGTGCAGTAGATGAACTAGCCTTTGAGCAAGTGTATGTAAACATTAATTTTTGAATAGAAAAAGAACCTAAAAACCTATGAACTATGTAGAAGACACTACTCACTCTAAAACTAAGTTTCTTCTAGCACTTATATTGTTAAAGAACTTCTTTTTAAATGTGACCCATTACTATAACTTGAAGTAATTAAACGTCAAATGGCCATATTTTATAGGCCTAATAGTCTAAAGAATATGTTCGATTGAATTTTGATATTGTGATATTCGTCGTGATTACATTTCATTTTTTCTATTTATGCTTTGCTGTTTACTGCATTACTGAAAACAACAAGAACCAACAGTGATGTTCTTATTAGGCATAGCATACGTCCTGCCGATTGCACATTATTATGTTGATATTTTGTTGTAGGTTTTCAAGCTCAGTACAATAAGAGAAATTTGTATACAATATAAGTGATTAAAGAATGGATTTAACAGCTGCTCCGGAAATTCCAAGAAACCTTATTTATTGCCTGAAATGGCTTCTTACCATCAAAATATAATTATTCAAACTGCGTTATCCGCCATCACAATCATGACAATATAACAAATACACACACTCACCCCACCCACCTACATGCATGCATGTATACATACATACATACATACAGACACATCAATATACACATACACACACACACATACACTCACACACACACATATATATATATATATATATATATATATATATATATATATATATATATATATGTATGCATATATATACATATACATATATATAGCATAGCTCTAATATCTGAAGGTTTGGGTGTGGTGGGATCGAGTGTGAGGTGTTATGAAAGGCTTGAACCGAACAAAAAAATAAAAATAGAATTAAGCATGAAAGAGAAGAAAAACCGAATTCAAGAATTGCGTAACTCTAAGGAGGAAAGTCGTTGAGGTCGAAAATTGAAAATATTGAAGGTGTGGGTGTGGTGGGATCAAGTGTCAGGTGGTATGAATGCTTAAAAAATTGAAAATAAAGGATGGTCAGAAGAGGAGCATAAAATACCATGCTTGTGATTTAAATTGAATGGAACAATACCAAACACAGTGAGTATAGAGATGCAGTTAAACGTAGAAGCTGAGGCATCTATGATTTTGGTAATACAAATGTCATGAAGTTAGTTGAAATTACAGTAGCCATAAACATAGATGTTCCTAGGGGTTCCAATCCCATCTATGATAACTGTCTTATATCATATAATATAATTTGTGATGTTCCTTGTTACATAACCTTTAACCTTTAGTGATATTCACCTCACTTCGTTATACAATTTATTTTTGGAATTATTAATCTGAATTATAAAATGTAGTAAAAATATATGTTAATTATCTAGCAGATTAATAAGCAGCAGAAACCATACCTCTAATCAACATACCTTAGAATAATTTGGGAAGAATAGCCAAACACTGACGAAGCCTGCGCGTTCCATAATGACGTTACTGTGTTGTTATGGAAACAGTGTGCACGTCTTCCATTCCTAGCTAAACGAGTCTCCACTTTGGCGATTCATATTAGCGTTGACAAGAGTTAAACCGTTTGTTGTATTGTTCATGAAGAAATATTTACCTAACATCGCAATGGACTCAAGTTTGTAAGTATACCATCAGACTGTAAAAAAAAAATCTATTTTTGTTTTAATATCTTCAGTTTTTTCGGTTTTCTAATAACAAGAAACATAGTTTGTCCAATTATTGATTTTTTAAAATATTATTTCGAAAAAATTTACATAGTTTAGGCCTACTCTTATTTTTTAATTATCACTACAGAGAGCAGCCATCAACCAGTGATCGGGACAAAAAGAAGGAAAATGATGCCCAGAGTACCACTTCGAGTGTTGGATCGATAAGTCAGGTATATTTCGTCAATCAATATACTTCAATAGACATTAGTAATGGGGATGTTAGAATTTCTATCTGTATAAATGAAACGATTCTCTATCATTATGAATGTATATTTGAATTCTTGAATAGAGCCACTACCACAATTGATATCACACTATTCAATTTAGGCAGAAGACTCTACCCGAGGAACCGTGAGCGATAAATGTAATGGAAACTGCACCGGTATATCCTCTCTGGCTCCTAGTGGCAAAAAGAAGCAGATGATTAAGATACTCACGCTTATTCTGCTGCCCATATTTGCCCTAATAACGTTGGCAATTTCAGATCTGATTAACACTGTGCGTCGCAGTATTGATGCAACTGAAACGCGTAGGAACGTTCGTTTAAGTCAGCAGGTAATGTAGCAAAGTTATGCAATTTTTTAAACACGTCTCTTATGGTAATGGTAGTAGGCATATTAACCAAAACGTTTTTGTGTGACTCTAAGTAGGAGTTATCACATGGTGCTGTGTCTAATGTTGTATATTGTCTATTCTTGCATAGGTTGGATCTCTTATTCATAGTTTGCAGCGAGAGCGCGACATGACTGCACTCTACATTAGCTCGTTACTAGAAGAAAACGGACCTGAACGCAAGACTTTCTTAATAGATACCTACCCAATGACAGACGAGGTTCTACAGAGTCTTGACGACTGGCCAGTGAAAGGAACCAAGGCCTACAAGGAATTTAAGAACAAACAAGAATGCATGAACTTCCTCTTTAAGTATCGTCTAATGTTAGACAACCAAAACACTACCATCTACGAGGTAATCCACTTCTACACAGACGCAATACAAATCTTTATCGACTGGTTTAACGAGAGTGTCGGGAAGTCTGGCGGGCAAGGTGTTTGGGAAACACTGGTTGCCTACCAGCTACTGATCATTGGCATGGAACAAATCGGTATCGAAAGAACATTGGGTGCAGTATTTTTTACTCAAGGTGGTTTTCACCAAACAGATTACCTTTGGTATATGAAGACATTTCAAGTCGGTGAGAGTAACATATGGGCGTCTCAAAAATACTCCTCTCTCGTCAGCTCCATCTTAGATGAAAGAGTTTCTCTGATAAAGTATGATTTTCAGACGACTATCTCAAATATGAGAAAAGAAATATCCCAGAATGACATTCACAGATTGCCATCCTGGCAAGATGGGACCTGGTGGTTTGACAACATGACCATCTACATCGATACCTTACATGAGATCCAGAGCAAGATGGCAGTGATTATTCTCTCCAGACTCGACGAGGCAGTAAAGACCGATAATACTAGTTTATCGACTGGTATCAGTATCATGGTGGTAGTGATCATAATAGGAATCGTGATTTTTAAAGCAGTTGAATCTCTGACATCATCGATGAAGGAGTATGGACTCATACTTGCTGACCAAACTAAAGTACTAAACAGTGAGAAGAAACGCACAGATACGCTGTTGTACCAGATGCTTCCAAAGATTGTGGCCGAGAGACTAAAATGTAATAAAAACGTCAAGGCTGAAGAGTACAGTTCGGCAACAATCATGTTCTCGAATATTGTTGAATTCACTCGCGTATGCTCGGAAAGTACTCCCCTTCAGATTGTCGATATGTTGAATCATGTGTATACTGTCTTTGACAACTATATTGACAAATATGATGTTTACAAAGTTGAGACCATCGGTGATGCTCACGTTGTTGTATCAGGTAATCAACCTTATTGACAATAATAATAATGATAATGATGATACTAACAATAATAATAACAATAATAATAATAATAATAATAATAATAATAATAATAATAATAATAATAATAATAATAAACATTATTATAATAACAACATTTATTTAGTAAGGTATGTATAGTCCTAAAAGTTAATTTTTTCGGATACGAGCACCAACCATAATATATTAGTACATAAAGACGATTGAAAAATAATGGAATTCTAAATTATTTATAAACAGGTATACCGAAGCGAAATGGAAATACGCATGGCAGCGAAATCGCTCTATTGGCATTTAATCTCCTCAACAGTATTAAAAGTGTCGTTATACCACAAATGCCGGGCTACTCTTTGACGATAAGAATTGGTATACACACAGGTAAGAACAATAAACATGTTATAATGCTTAAGTTTTTTTTGTATTTTTTTTAAAACTACGAGCTTATGTTAACAGTGACATTGAAACTGTGTTGTAATGATAGTCCGGTAGCCTTTTTTCCGGCTTATAATTTGTGCAGGATTTAATTTTCAAAAATTGGGCTGTAGAATCTTAATTATGACCACAAAGTGTGAGTGAACTGGTACTAATTTAGACCATAATTCTAAAACATGCTATGAAAATGAACATGTATTTTAAATTCTATATATTAAATTTGAAATAATAGGCATAGGCCTATGTTTTGACGAAATTAGTTTCTCTACAACGAATATAAAACCTGTTTTAAATGTTCGTAAGCTGATGAGAAATATTTTCCTGTAAAACTGATAGATAAAAAGATACCGTCTTTTGTAAAAATCTGAAAAAAAAACCATTGTTTATTTAAAAGTATCAAATCATTTTCATATTAAATAATACGTGATTTACATATAATATGCTATTCAAATATTGAAATGTATTGTTTAATTGTCTATTCAAATATTGAAATGTATTGTTTAATTGTTTTGGTCAAAGAGTGACGGATCCAGGAATTCGAAATAGAGGGGACCCAGGCCAGGGACTTTCATGAATAGCGAGTCAAGACCACCCCAGCCCAACTGCATGGTTGGGGCTGAGTTAAGACAATTTATGATTAATGCACTTCTAGATGGCTGTAAATCTCAGATCTAACTAAAATTGATTGAAATTATCCTATTTTTTCATTTTTTTTTTAAAATAATTTTGAAAAATGTAGGGAAGTGGGTGGTGGTTGGGGGGGGGGGGCTTGTCGGCTTGGCTACCCTTGAATCCGCCACTGCCTGCACAAACAATAACAAAAAATACGGTATTACACTTATTATTTAAATAATTTTACCCTAGGTCCAGTTGTTTCCGGAATAGTCGGATCCAAGATGCCGCGCTATTGTTTGTTCGGGGAAACGGTAAACATGGCTTCTCATATGGAATCCAGTGGAGTTCGTAAGTACGAGGTTGAAGACTAATTGATATAATAAAATAAGGGTATTTTTGTAATATTTGAAAGATACTGATAGGCCTACTGATAATTCTTTATACGTCAAAAAAAAGTACATATACCATCCCATAATCTCCAGGCGTGCGCTGTTTGGTATAGAGCTACATTACCACAAAGACGTAATAATTAATGGTTGTGGCATTTTCCTAGTTGTATGTTTTAATTTTTTTAACATGTTTGTTTTTAATTTTCATAGCGAACCGTATTCAGGTTAGTGAAACAACTCACAAAGTTTTGTCAAACATTGGCGGCTATTCAATGGATAAAAGGGGGAAAGTTTTGATCAAGGTATGTAAATATATTATTTGAAGCTATTTTTCAATGGATTTATTGTGATGAGGTTATTGGTAATGATGATGATGCTGATGGTGGTGGTGATGATGAAGATAATGACGATGATAATGATGATAATAATGACGACTATAATAATAATATATAGATATAATAATATAGATATATTGTTATCTATATCTATATTATTATATCTATATAATAATAATAATATAGATAACAATGCAGTTGTGGCGCCAGCGGGGGGATTTTCCCCACTCCTCCCCGCCCCCCGTCAGACAGGCCCCCTGTCGTCCGAAGCACGACTAGGTCGTGGGATCAACCATACCAAGGATTTTTTTCTATTCCGGGCCGGCGACCGAGGCTCTAGTCGGCCCCTTGGTTCAGACCCCTCCGTCGAACATGTCGGACCCCTTGTCGGCAAATTTCTGGCGCCACCGCTGTAACGATGTCAACGACGATGACAATGCAATGGTGGTGGCGGCGGTGATGATGATGATATTATGATAATGAATGTTGAAATAATCTATACCCCATGCTAAGGATGTATTCCTTATGTAGATAATCATGGCTTTTTAATGACTATTATGTTATGAATAATGATGATAATATTTTTGTTTAAAAAGATAATGACTGTGACGTCATATAAGTTATTCCCGTTTTATTCCAGGGGCATGGATTTGTCGTGACTTATTGGCTCCTTCAAAAGGAAACTCAATTAAGCGTCAGTCAGCGGTTTGACGTACCACCTAAGGGTTTCGATTTCTTGCTGCCCGGAGAGTGCAGTCCATAACCAGTTGAGGAATGAATAATAGATGAATGAATAATTGTCAGATTTTCTATTATCTATTTTGAGTTTTATCTCTGATCTAACCCATATGGATGTTTAATCCGGTAATAGCCAACGGTATTACAACCCGAATAAATAGCTGGGGCTCGTGAAATGGGATTGAGCGTCAGTGCCAGAGACGACACAAATATACAGTAATAATATTATTAATATTAATATTATATTACAATAATCACAATCATAATCACAAAACGATTTATTCAATCATCAAGTCATATAAATTAAAAGTATTTAAAAAAAATCAAATTTTTCTTATTGCAAAGTACTTTTGTGGTTGGTTTGTACACAGATTTGTTATATTCGACGTTATTAAATCACATGTAGGCCTATTTCCTCGTAATATCACGTTGTCTCATATATGTGTATAAGCTCTATAGAAAAGAAGAAACGGAACGACTGTTTTAAATACAGAGGCTTAAATCTATAACAAAATTATGTATTATTGTGTTTTGAATAACTATTAAAATATTTGTAACGTGTGAAGTTAATAAATAACAACGTACTGTATCGGAACCCTTCCTAAGATAACGTAGTCTCAGTTTATTTTCTGAATGCATAGATTTATTGCTATAATAATTGTTATGTGTGTTATATTTTAAACTTAAACAAGTTCGAGTAACGAAATTCGGAGTACCACAGGCAATATCTACAAAATATCAACATCCATCCTCATTCTAAAAATAATTGACAGTTACAATAAGCCCAACTCTCCGATATTGCGCCTAAATGAAAATTATTATTCTCATTATTACAACCTTTGAGTATATTGGCCGCTATACCAAACAGAAGAACTACAGCAAACAAAGTATACAACTATTGGATCTAAAACCAAACTAATCTGAACATAACATTAAAGGTGCTTACTCTCGAATCAGTGTCGAAGTACACATTTGAATAGCCAAGAAGCGCGCGACATCAAAGCCAGTCACAGGATAGAGATCAGACTGTTGAATGTTTTTGAGATAGGCAGGCACACACTAGCTAACGCGTAAGTTACATAGAGATTGTGTATAATATACATATTAATTATACACATGTTATACCGCACCTTTTATATAGTGGTACAATGTACTAAGTGGATGATAGAGGTCACCTATAAATCCATCACGTTTTCATGTACACCATTTACTTAAGGTAGGATTACACAGACATAAATGACAATAAGCACTAACTGTTTAAATATTATACTGGGTTAAGAACTATCAGCTATAGCAGCATAGAGATGATGCTATCTAGAGGTTCTTACATAATTATTCTAGAGCAATAGGAAGAAAGGAATGACGTCATTGACGAAATCCAGAAATTAATAATAATGCTACATAAAGTAACGATTTTAATAATTATGATGTCGAGGTTGATAATAATAAGTAGGCCTATTAATAATATATTAATATTTATTGTTAGTATTATTTCTATATAAATATAGGCCTATATAATAATATCAATACAAATATCAATACAAATATAAAATAATAATTATTTTGCTTAATTTATCTACGAGAACGTATTCATAAGCCTATGCATGTGTGAAATCATTATTTACTTTGCCCATGACAGTGCAATCACAATTGTTATTTTGAATTTTATGCAATCATTGCTAAAATCATGATGTATTGTCAACTATACTTATTTCACATCGGAACAGAACGTTCCATTCTAGCCATTTGATTATGTCCTATCTTAGTCACGTGACTTGATTCACCAATGGTATTAGCGCGCTTCGTTGGCTTCACTGGTTAATTAGAAAATTTGGTTGACATTGATGCCGTATACATCAACGGAAAGGTAAGCACTATCTAGAATAGAGATAATCAGCAAATTAATAAATTATTAGGAAAATGTAATATGGAGATAATTATTATATCAAGCTGTATAGCAATACTGAACGGAATTTGACTGATTTATATCATACTGCAAAATTACCCACAATGTGATATTTCTTAGATTTAAATCTACAGACTCTACTACTATATAGAATTTGTCTACGCCCCCTACCCCAATCGGTAGCAAGAAGTACCCATACATTAAAATTTAAAAAAAATGTTTAAATTGCGTTTAAACGAGTGTTTAATGAATTATATTTTATATATTTAGTGTGAAACATTTAAGACGTAATTTTAGTGACGGACCCCCCGGGACGGACCTTATTGACGTTAGGGCAATAATTAGCAAACACCAAGGCTTACTGAACATTTACAAAAATGATACTGACTGTAAAATGGTTATATTTGATTGTTTTTACCATTTCAGATCTGGACGAGCTGAACTAAAATTGCAGACGACTTTACGACTTTAGTTTATTTTGCGTATGTTTTTACATAAAGGTGGATTCTGTTTAAGCCCAATTGATTTGTTAAAAATATGGAATCAATCGCTGATCCTTTTCAACGCTAAACACTCTCTAATCTCATATTGTATGATTTGCTATTTTAATATACCAGCAACGACGTCTGCGCAGATTAATACCCTACGGCAATTATATAGACTTTAATAATTAAGGACGTACAGCAGAAACGTGTTTGCAAATTGATTTCAAATCTCAACTGCTGCACAAGATGTCGTCTTCAATGTCAAATGTCGTTGAACAGGCTCATCAACGATTTCGATTTCTAAGAGACACGAGAGCCGTACGAGAGAAGGAAGAAAAACGCCAAAATGTTAGATCAACTGATTTCCCGCCTGTTTTTAACAAACGTCTGTTTACCGCTAAATCTAACAGCATCATCATTACACGTGAGGCGCGCAAAGTTCTTGCAAGAAATCGCGAGTGTATGGCGTCAAACGCTTGCAGACGACTGACTGATCATGAAATACGTCATATGAATTACCTCGTTGAGGTTCTCGGTTTGATCCATCACAACCTCCAATATGTGAAAGAATGCCTCTGCTACGTCGTCACTTACGAAAGTTATGATTCCCGGCAATACATTGTGAAATATGAGCGGGAAGAATGTTTATCTTGTTTTTATATTGTCAGCGGAAGAGTAGAAGTAACTTACGATCGCATTAGCCTCGACGCATCCGTACATGTTCACGAACGAAATCTGATTTACACACATGGGCCTGGTGAATACTTAGGTCTGGTCTCGCATGAGGGTGAGCAGGGCGATCTGGAACCCCCATCAACAATGTATACTCTTGAGCCTTGTGAATTCATTCGGGTTGATAGACAGCGTTTTCATGACACAATGGAAGGTTTGCATATAAGGCATACGAAAGAGAAGAGATCATTTCTCAGTCGCCATAAACTTCTGAAGAATCTACCAACTGTTGATAAAGAACGATTAATTCCTGGTCTTGTAAAGCAGGTAAGATACTAAATGTTGTTTACCTTCCGTCTATTCTTCGCTTCAGTCATCACATCTCTGGGAAAAACATTTTAGCACAGTCATTGTTTAGTGACATTTTCAATAATTAAAACAATGTCTTTAGTTTTCTCTCTCTTTTCGACAGGCAGGAGTGGATCCTAATTCTCCACTGACATCTTTACTCTTGGGTTTTTTTTCTATAAGGTATTTTATCGTTCATTCAGATCAACTATTCCTCTTCTCTTCTTTTTCTTTTTTCTGTAGGCCCTACCGTTAAGCTGGCATTATTTCTATCTCTTTTCCTGTTGATTATTCTGCACTTTCAGTCTATCTCTGCCATCACTCATCATATGCTGCATTCTAATCTACACCCAGATATCAAACAGAGGTGGCGCCAGCGGGGGGGGGGGGCCGGGGGCCAGGGCTCCACGTCGGGGAAAGATGCCCCCTCGGGGAGAAAAATAAGTCTTTGAAACCCCTAAATTGTCAACAATTTCGGGGCTTCGCACCTGGACCACTTTAGAAATATTTTAAGCGACGCTCGACCACGCCCACTTTCCTCTCGTTGGGGAAATCTGCCCCCTCTTCGGAGGAATCAGCCCCCTCGTCAGGGAACTCCGACCCCCATCCAGTCGTGGAAATCCTGGCTCCACCCCTGATATCAAAGCGTTCCGGACGCCTATTTTCATGAGCATTAGTGTTGATTCTCAGCTCCATGCAATACCCAATTTTACACAACTTTTTTTTTTAATTTGTTTCAGTTTTAGTGCTCTGTTTTCTTGTTAAGGGCAGTTTATTTTTCATTGAATACCTCTTTGGCCATATGTACAGGAGTAAACATTCAAAAATATAAATTAAAAAATAAACTATTTCCAATATTGTTGTATTCTTTAAATGAATAAATTCAATCATATTCGAATGTTTGTGTATTTGAAAAAACAAATCAAGATCTAAAGCTTGGAGATAAGCTTAAAATTTTCAAAAGTCAGATTCAAATAGATGTGGGAAAATATAATAAACATAAAAATGAAGTAGCTCTACGATATTTTAATAGTATTTGGGGGTCATAAAAATGGTTACTAAAATCAATTATTCTTTCTTGTATTTACCAAGAACTTTGATTAATCTTCTCAGATGACAGTTTCTATACCTACAGTAGGCTATTTCCTTTCAGCCATCTGTATCGTTTTAAAAACTAATTTGTTTAAAATCTGTTGACTAAAAAACCAATGAAGGCTGCAAAAAGATGGATCGACAAATATTAACAACAAATCATGTTTTCTTTTGAGAAATATGAAACATTTTAAACGTAATTATGAATCCAAAACAGTTATATGAAGAGCACATTGTAAAGGTCAGATACGTCGAATTGGTTTTCATAATTCCTATGTATTAATAGCGCATTAAAGTTACATTCGAAATTCATTCATTTTGTTTTCGGGCCTTGCAAATTGAGTGAATCACTGTTTACGTATTGGCGGAAATCTCTTTCCAGTAGGCCTAACAATAGAATTCACATACATAGCTATGACAGTAAATTCATTCGCCAGTACCCTAGGAGACAGTTCCCTCATCTCCAGCGGAAAACGGAAAAGAATACAAGGAAGTTCACGACACAAAGTTTGCTTTTACAACAGTAGGAGGATTGATGAGGCCTGTTATCATTTAATTTAATTGTGTTTCATGAACCTTATTGGGAGTTCGTATTCTTAATTATTTTATAATTATTTATATTATCATTATTATTTATATTATTATTATTATTAACTATTATTTTAATTATCAATATTGTTTATGATATATAGAATGTCTGGGTAAACAATAATTTTGTCGTCATTGAGAGCGCCATTCCACTTCATTCAGTTTATCAATCTATTCATAAATTAATCCATCAGTCAGTCACTCTGTCAATAATATAAATCAACCAACTAATCAATCAATTAAGAAATCAATCAATTAATGAGCTAATCAATCAATGAATCAATCGAAAAATCAATCAATTGGTCAGTTTACCAGATGATACTGTGCCAGCCCCGTAAAAGCTTTGCTTCATATTTCTATATGGATTATCTACTACTAACCCACACAACCAATCAACAGGGGGATGTCTAGTCATTTTAGAAGGCCTGTTATTCTTGAAACATATATTAATATTATATATCCACATTTTTAGTTTCATCAAAATAATTTATTGGTGATATATTTTTATTGTTTATATATTATTATGGTATATAGTGTACTGCAATATGCCTTACACAGAAGCTGTGAATATAACACCGAGCAGGTGGTATTTACGGATGCTATTTTACAGTTCAATTGCTTCTCAATAATTAGACAAAACGCCGCAAAGATCATTAACTTATAGTATTGTAGTCAGAGATTACAATATACGACACTGAATGAAATTTACCGAAGGGTATACATATACTTAAGCATTAATTTAGAAACTAGCAGCTAAAACGCTGAAACGCGTTAAAAATGTATTAAATAATATTAAAGGAAAACCCCTCAGCGAATATCTAGTTTGTGTTTTCGTCATTGCCGCATTAAACACTGATAGAAAAGTAATTTTGATTGCGTTTACTCAGTTATAATTGACACATTACGGACGCGTATGATACTTAAGTTAATACCGGTATTTAACAGTTGTTGAATTTTATTACAGCATAAATTAACGAAATACTGCCACCAGTTGTCAAAATGTTAGCAATTATTTTAAGGCAGACGGAACTTACACATCGTTATAACAAAGCATATTTTATACAAGAAGGCTTATCAACACTTTTTAACAACATTTATTCAATAAAATCAATCAATAATAATAAAATAAAGTTTTCAAGTAAACGGAAACAGACAAATTTGAATTTGATTCGGATTATTTCTAAAAGTTTTAAAACAAAACTTGTCTCGAGATGACTCATGACATTGTATAATACAACAATGACGACGACGACGACGATGACAACAACAACAATAACAATAATAATAATACTAATAACATTAATAATAAAATAGTAATAATAATAAAAACAATAAAATTATTAATAATAAAATAATGAATAGTAATAATAATAATAATAATAACAATAATAATAATAATAATAACAAAGATAATAATAATAATAGTAATAATAATAATAATAATAATAATAATAACAACAAAGATAACATAATCAATAACAATATTATATTATATACTAGACTATTTAAGAATAGAAATGAATGACAAGTGTATCACGTAAAAAATGTATGGTATTCTTTACAGGTATACCCAGCAAACAAAGTCATTCTACGCCAAGGAGAGGTCACTGATTCCATATTCTTTGTGTCTTCTGGTAAGGTGATGCAGATAAATATAGTGATGTTTTGCCCTACCTGACATGTTATCGTACCGAATGCTCAGTACGTTCCCATACACTTGACTCCAGAGGAAATTATTTTTGATATGTTGTAGAACTGACTTTTCTAAGACAAAATGCATATTTGACGAAAAACTCGGTTAATGAGATACAGATTTTTGAATATTAAAAAAACTAGGGGGGGGGGGAATAGGCGTAACCACCCCTTTTTCCCCAGTTTTTAAATACTCAAAAATCTGTATCTTATTAGCTGCTTTCGAGTTTTTCGTCTATGCTTTTGGTGTCTTAAAAAAAAAATCAGTTTTACAACATATCAAAAAAAAAAAAAATCCTCCGCAGCCTGCCTTTAAGGCTCAAACTTACAAACTAGATCTAGACAGAATATATTTTTTCACGGCTAAATACAAATGCATTTCACATAGATACTCACTATTGAACGAGAATTAAAGAAAAATTTAAAAATTATAATATGATGTGTCACCATAATTTGAATTACTATCCGTTGATTTTGCAGGTCGATGTCAATTTTTCCGTAAGTTGTATTTGAAGCAGACAGAGAGGCATGAAATTTTCAAACTTGGCGACATCGAAGAAGGTTATCCATTTACATCTATTTTGTTTCATCTAACCTAAGAGTCATTCCATATGAATCCAACACACTTTTTGCCCGACCCCCTTCAAATCGCCCAATATTTTGCATGTTGGGGGTTCTACCTGAGATAAGGCCACAGTGAAATTTTTGGCTCCGCGCCAGCATTTTCTGATGAGTTAGAGCAATTTAAAATTTTCTGACAGACAACTGCTGATATCTCTCTTGAAACTCAACGTATTGGAGAATTTCTGGTACCGTTGGATAGAGAAGAAGATTCTCTTTCCAATGATAAGCAACTCGATGATGTCCGGACTAGTGGGAATTATGTAGGTCAAGTCACGTGACCTTGACCTTTGACCTAAATATCACAAAAGTATATATCTCGATTTTTGGAAAATTCACACCTCAGTTAGGACACTTAGCTCACATGATGCCCCTAAAGTTTCAAGTGATTAGACACGAAATTGTTGCCATTTTGGCTACGAAAAAATTAAGCAATTAACAAAATATTGATTTTTTTTTTTGGCTTCAGTGACCATCATGTTGTGTCTCTCTAAATATTGATTTTTGACAATTTTCATGGCAGCCATCTTGAATTTCAAAATGGCTGCCATCATAGCTTTTTCAAATCATGTTTATTGAAATCATTTGACACAAAACCATATAATTTGACACCAAATTTAGCGTTTTTCACCAATTAGAGTGGAGTTACATGACAAAATATTCAATTTTCGATGGTTTTTATGGCGGCCATTTGAATTCCAAAATAGCTGCCATCCTACATATATGAAAACATGTATATTGGACTCAAAGAGCCCAATAACATATGCTTAAACACCAAATTTAGCATTTTTCATCATAGAAGTGGAATAACAAACTAAAATATTCGATTTTTGAGTACATTTATGGCGGCCATCTTGAATTTTAAAATGACTACCCTCCTAGCTTTTCGAAACTATGTTTATTGTATTCAGAGAGCCCAAAATCATATGATTAGATCCAAATTTACCATTTTCCTTAGAGGATATGTGGAATTATACTAAAATATTATTTTTTTGACCATTTTTAAAGCGGCCACCTTGAGTTTCATTATGGCTGCCATTTTACGCTTTCGAAACCTGTCTCATTGGCTTCAGTGACCCTAAAAACATATAGTTAGACACCAGAAGTTATGAGTCAATATCATAATTTAAAATATATTATATGTTCCGCCCTTTTTCTGGAGGTTCTCCCTCGCTCAATTTCTTATTTATACCATAGTGATGCTAAATCAGCAGTGAAACCTTAATCCCAGAAAAATGGTCACAGGGCCCCTGATTTTCACAATACTATGGTGCCAGTTTCATAGAATCTATCAGCAGATTTCCTGGAAACTCAGTGAAACTATCAATACCTAATTCCCACTAGTCCGGACATCTTCTTCTCTATCAAACGGTACCAGAATTTCTCCAATACGTTGAGTTTCAAGAGAGATATCAGCAGTTGTCTGTCAGAGATGAGTTTTTTAGCCAAATCTCATGAAAATTTCAAATTGCTGTAACTCATCAGAAAATGCTGGCGCGGAGCCAAAAAGTTCACTGTGGGGTTATCGCAGGTAGAACCCCCAACATGCAAAATATTGGGCGATTTGAAGGGGGTCGGGCAAAAAAGTGTGTTGGATACATATATGGAATGACTCCTAAGTATTTTTAAAGATAAGCAACTTCAGTTGCCCTTGTGAGATTGTACTTATGTTTTACATTGGGTATGTAGATATTTTAAATCCATATGATCAGACGTTTTAAATAAAAAAATTAACCCAAAATTCGAGTTAATAACGTTTTTGAACAACTTTTGTGAACAAATTTGCGCGTGCTAGCTTACATTGTCTATAGAGAGTTTTCGGTGCGAGACGATCAATCTCACGCTCGAAATCGAAACATTCGACCCAAATTACGTCCTATAGTTTGAGTATGCGCAGTTGACTCTACGTAACGTTATTATATTTGATATTGTTTATACAAAGGTGATGTTTTTGGTGGCGAGAGTGTCATAAATGGTAAAACAAGCTCTGTAACAGTTTCAAGTGCTGGAATCGTCACGTGCTATCGAATCAACAGGTAAGCCTATTAGAAAACTTATACTAAGTACAGTTAAGCCTAATATTCAAATCATAATGGCCCCGAAATCACGATTCAGAAATACCGGGATGTTTTTCGGCGAGGGATAGTTTTACCTTGTATAGTAGTTTAAGTCATTACATTCACAATCTCCGTGCCACCGAAACCTTGATTCAGAAATACGTACCGAGATATCCGGCTGGGGATAGTTTATTATCTAATATTGTTACATTTTTTAGCTAGTTTCATTTACTTATGAGTAAAATAAATTTTACAAATGAATACTGAACTGAATATATTAAATGTATGTGTTGAGCTAATATGAGACATGAGAAACAAACATTAATATTTCCCCGAGAGCGTTAATCGTGGCGACGCCGTCTGCTGATTGGCGGTGGCAATCTGAACGGATCGTCATTAAAAAAGTTCAGTTGCGTGTGCATCGTGGCGTTGCGTTCTCCATAGAATCGTGACGGCCGACGGATAGCGGCCATAGTGAATGCCAGCTTTATAGACTCAAATTGTCCAAATCATACCTAGAACTATAAAAAATTAAAAAAAATTAAAAAGATAAGTCAATTTAACGCCAATTATAATGTCGTTGCTACATACTTTGGAGTTATCATCAATTAATGAATGAACTAATTAATTAATTTGCTGTACACGTAATTATATTTTCCTTCGTTATGATTATTAAAAGAGTAAAGTCTAGCGCACAGATAAATCAAATTTAGCCTATTATTTATTATATTATAATAATGTAGGCCTTTACATACCACGTGACTGTGCACTTCATCATGACGGCACTGCACGCGTTTACGTTTACATGGTTTAATCTTGCAAAAGACTAGTCCGTCATTGCAAGCGCAAACCTCATTCGATCGATGATTCATTATTATTTATTATATTTTAATATAGGGCGATATATACAGTAGGCCTATATAATAGAGATATTCTATTTGATTAACATTATAGGATGCACTTCATCATGACGGCTCGCGAAAACCTCATCCGATTAATTTTAGCGCAGCCTAAATCCTTAATTGATGACACCGAGATCCGAAATCGAGGGTATAACTGGACAATTTGGCAGGATTTTAAAAGAGCAAACGTAGTCGGATTACTTAAAAATACGGACCATAGTTACTTGATAAAAAGAAATGTCCGGCTGACGAAACGTTCTTTACAATCGAGAAGGTAAGTAGGCATATGGGTTCAGGCGCCATATACAGCCTTCATAAAACTAAATTCCCGATTAATTCTGGACACGGCAAACGGGTATAAAAGATCGAGTAAAACTGGATTATGTCTAGACGTGACACCAAAATGGAAAATAGGCCTATCAATAGTTTCGTACTTTATACATTATACTTCGCAATTACCAGATAAATTGTGATTTAAGGGATGGGATATTAACTGCAATTATTTTTACAGGTAAAACCAATTGAAAAGACGAAACACGTTAACAGGTGCATTGTACACGGTTCAATATATTGGGTGGAATAAAGCAAAATTCTTGATATTTAAATAATATGCCTCATAGGCTAATCATGTATTGGTCCTTTTTGTTTCATAATTGAAATCGAAGACCTCAAACTTGTCAGAACTTTCGGCGTATTCACAGGCGTCACAGCCCACAGCGATCAAAATCTGTTCCTGCGACTTTTAGGCCTACACAGGAGTTTCCTTTAATTGACGAGCAGCCCTACTGGACACCAGCTCAACCAGAGACAGAAAACAGATTCGACTCAGCCGACGAAAACATTTTTTGGAGCCCAAATGTATTTCCATCTATCGCTTTCAGTGACAAGGTTGAAAATAATGACATAACAGTTGAGGAGCTGAACTATGATGGCTTATTTCCGGCACTTAAAATAACAGATAAAGAAGTATGTGAATCAACACAAAAATATCCAGTAACTGATCCTATAATTTTATCAGTGTTTCACTCACTTTGTCAATATTTAATTTATTCAGAATATTGAAAAAAAATACGATAGTGACAATTTTACCAACGAGATGTGAAACTCTTATACTAATTCGCAAAATATATACAGTACAAAAAAGTCAATTGCAATACCGATAGTATAACCATGGAGGAATTATTGATTTTAAGGAATACTGAAAAGGTGTTACATAATTCGTTTCTTTTCTCTAATATTAGTTGACCACAACCCGTGTCGAATCTAGAGAATTCAAAGATGATTGGTTTCGTCATTCGAAACTTATGGCCCTACAAGGCGAAAGTGAAGACTCAAGTGGGCATACGGATAAACCAGAAGTAAACGAAGAAATGCTTTATATAAAGAGTCCAGTGGAAATACAACCACATTATAATATGCCAAATAATATTCAATTCACGGAATCTGATTTAGATACTCACTCGAGGTAATATAATATTCTTCAAATGTTTCCAACAAAATATGTCTTATTTGTTTTGATTTTATTTTTTTAATAAGAAAAAAACATGTCTCTTACAATGGATGTTTCTGCTTAAACCAGTCCATTAATGTCCAACTAAAAACAATATGCTGCTACATTCGCAAATACACATTTCTTTTAGCCTATAATTTATAAAGGCAACTAATAATTCAAGTTATTATTTCTGATTTGAATATAGATATTCAGATGCAATATACGAGGCGTACGAGAATTCAAAACAAGAGATTTACATTTCTAAGTTCAGAATCAATTGCCTTCGAAAAACATTGCGAGGGAGAGAAGAAAACCGGAAACGAACAACAATCAGTAAATACTCTTCCGGCACGGATAAAACGCTAGCTGATGGTTGTAAACAACGTCTAAGTGTTTCAGAAAGACTTTTAAACCAAGAGCAAATATGAAAAATTATAATTATTCATCATCATCATCGTTTCCATTGTGTTAGTAAAAGCTTTACTTAATTGTTGGTACAGTATTGTGTACAACTGATTTGTTTAAGACTTTGAAATTGTTTGACGAAAAACAAGATACAGATTTTTAATATTTAAAATCTAGTGGAAAAGATTGTTTACATCATATTAATTTTTTTCCGAAACCTGGATTTAATAGAAAATAATGGAAATAAAGTATAAAGAGAAAAGATTCAAGCTACTCCAATTATAATAATAATATGTATTTATAACTTGTACAACACATTCTTAACATTACTGAAAATATTCAGTATTTTGACAATAAATAATATTAATAATGATAATAATTTATTACAAAAATAATATATACATTGTCTGTTTTGCTTTTACCTCTGTTGAACTATATACATTTATTCGCTTCTACTTACTAATTTGCAATTTACTGTAACGTTTTATTGTAGTAATAATGTACAATGATATTCTAGATTACAAACCTGTTAGTTGAAATTTGGTAGTTAAAGTAATGTATTTCTGAAATGTTGCATAGCTATTAATTTTTTAATCAACTCTACTGCCCCCTCTTTACATTGATGTTACCAATTTATCACGAGAGGGCGTGAAATGGCTGATAAAAACGAAAAAAAAGTATAATATACCAGAAGGAACTAACAAGACTGCTAACGGAGAGTTAACATCATCAATAGCCAAAAGCCCTGGCAACACCAAACTAACAGGTTTGTAATCTAGAATATCATTGTACATTATTACTACAATAAAACGTTACAGTAAATTGCAAATTAGTAAGTAGAAGCGAATAAATGTATATAGTTCAACAGAGGTAAAAGCAAAACAGACAATGTATATATTATATTGTAATAAATTATTATCATTATTAATATTATTTATTGTCAAAATACTGAATATTTTCAGTAATGTTAAGAATGTGTTGTACAAGTTATAAATACATATTATTGGCACTAACATGTTATCGATGTCTGCTTAGAGACAGGTAGGCTAGGTGTGGTGCTATTTTGCATTGCAATGGACGGCCAGAGATTAGTATGCTATACTAATCAGTTAGGTCCAAAGATCAATGAAACCCGTCGTTTGTACTCTAAACAGGTACAGACTGATGTTTACCCATGGCAACACCTGCCAAACTGTCCGTAAGAACATAGCTTTGTAGGTGTAGCTTGGAGGTGGTAGGCCTACACGCCCTTTAATCCAAGAAGAAAAAGTGATAGGACGCACTTAAAAATATAAGATTTGTAATAACTGCTATAAATATACATATAGGGACATTATAAAATATATAACTATAAATAGCGTATATTTTATAGTAGAACTATATATACATAAATTATATTATTTATATAATATATATATATATACACACATATATAAAAGACATGTATTTAGTATGTATGTATGAATTATTGAATGAATGAATTAAGGAATGAATGAAAGAATCTGTCTAATCGATTGATTAATCGGACGAACAAACGAATAAAAGATATATTAAATGAATGAATCAATGAATCAAAAAAGGGATATTGTAAAGTATATAACAATTATAAATAGCGTATATTTTATAGTAGATCTATATATACATAAATTATATTATATATTATATATATATATATATATATATATATATATATCAATCAGTCAGTGAAAAAAAGTGGAAGAGATAAACTAAATTCAAAATTGCCTGTAAGATGTTGTACCACCTTTACAGCAAAGACAACTCACACCCACACAGCACATAAACAAAGAAGCATGCAAACAATACAATTTGTAAAATATGCAAATTAAAAAAAAGGTGAATTTAGTAAGAATTAAAGGTAAAGAATTATTTTTTTGATTTATTAAACAGATGCTATACTAAGTTAAATAAGCAAATCATTTTAAATTGCGCTAAAGTATGTTAACAGTGCATGATTTGGCAAATCATTCCATACTTTAGGACCTGAAGACAAGTTTTTACCCTATTGATTGGAATTAGGAAATGAGTTTCAATGATACATACTCCATACCCCGGCCGTTACCCTTACATATGATATCGGCCTAACTGCACAACAATTCGATTTCACTTCATGCTTTTGATATAACACATCTATTACCGTGTCAATTAAAAGCAAATATCAACGTAGTAAAATGATTGGATGTTGGTCTTTGTAGCGAAATGATTACGTTCGGTCAGATATTGTTGTACATGTTGGCCTGACCTGGGACATTGATTTTCTGGGGTAATTACACACAATTAAACTCTGAATAAAGTCTGAAGATGGGCATGTTCTTGAACGTCCGGAAAACACACAAACGCGTTCATTAGTGCAAGGTCAGCTGCAATATCCACAGTCCTAATAACTTGGTAGTGTTCTGCTAAACGAATATTTGCTACTCGATTTCATAGTTTATCGATTGCTATTGATTACAGCTTCTGAAGAAATTTTGAAGAAATTAAAACAGAATACAAAATGTTACAGCTCAAATAGAAATAATATTGAATTAAATGTCATGAAATCAAATAGCTTTCCAACGGACAGTGCGTATTTGATGTGAGTTTGGTTCACTAGACCAATGGACCGTAGCTGATCAGTCAGTTTGATTAACCCCCACGAAAGGTCTATTTACAGGTGTTTACCCAATTGCAATTTCTTAATATTTCTTACTACTGAATATTCATTGCTACACAATTGTAATACAGTAATAAATTATTAATAATATTATTAGTTTCAAACAAATGAATTTCAGAAAAACGCCGAACGTTTTACAATTATGTAAGAAATTCAATAACGATCGTTCATTACATTAATTGGTAAAACATTTATATTTACTCGTAGTTAAGAATGGCGAGTTTTTTGGTTTGTTTTCTGTTTGTACTGAAGATGAGTTGAAGAAGTACACCCGAAACATGTTTACCATAATCCTTATACATTTCTTAAAATGTGTGTTTTTTGTTTTTGTTTTTGTTTTTTTTAAATTAATTTACGTCCGTTTGGGTACATTGTCAATCTTTAGTTCGAAAGATCTGCCTATTTGCTTACTCAGGAAGTAAGAGAAGACATCCTTGCGTTTCATCAAAGCTGAACTGGATTATAATTTCCTACATAATATTATTAGTATTGTTGCTGTTATTATATATTATATTATTATTATTATTATTAGGCCTATTATCATTTTTATTATTAATATTATTATTATTATCATCGTAATTGTCATTAATTATTAATTATATAACTAGCAATGATGTGACCGCAATTACTTTGATTGTGGTGGTGGAAGATTTTAATTTCATTCATGTCAATAATTCTATTAAGTTCTACTGATCCAGGAAAGTATTGTGTCAAATGGTACTGTTCATATTCACCAGTTCACGGACGGTAATTGTCTATCATGCACTCTATAGATTCTCAAGTACGTACGGTCAGCGTTTGACGTAACTGAGTGAAGTGTTACTCAGTGACGTAGTAAGGTGGTTAAACGCTATATGTTTTATAAGTTGTTGTCTTAGCTATTTTGTCCATGGTCGTCCTAATTCAAATAGATTTGAAAGGTATTCGATAGCCTACTAGTCTTAGGACAAACAGTATCGGTAAATATCGTGATACATTTTCAGTAGGCCTCTGTGCCTTGATTTTAAGAAATGATATGTATTGATGTCAGAGCGGCCACCGCAGTTACACAAATATTACGTTTGTACTATTTTTTTACAATGAATGAATGAGTGAATATTTACAATACCAAAGATTGCTATTGAAGTGTACTTTTTCACGGTTGATGAACAGAATATCAGCACTAAAACCTATTCGCTATTTCCTGTTCGTGATGAATAATGTAAATTGATAGTAATAAAATCAGGAATTCAAATAGAGAAATGAAGTCAAATCTGCTGTTCAATATGGTTTTGCAGGATCACTGAAACCTGTGACAAACGTTACCATTTTGGAGTGAGGGAATATCGACCTTACCGTCTGATCTAGTAGGTAGTAGGCAAGATTACTGCTGGTTGTGGTCTATGTGCATTTGTTAGGCTACCGGTAGGTGGACTATGTGCATTTGTTAAGCTACGGGTAACTGTACTAAAAGTATCAATAAATAGCGAGAGATATCCAATATAAGGGTCTGGAATGTATGCTAGCCAGGTTACAAATTTAATTATTTTAAATGATTCTGTTATTTTATGTATTTTGCCAAAGGAAAATATGTCATTCTTGATAAGGACTTATTGAATTAAGTGACATTTGATTACTTCGCAGATCGACCAGGTTTATTATCACGAACGTGAAATTATTGTGTTTGCTTGAGGATGGTGCTGTCATGGACACCTGATGCTTAGAGAAAAGCAAAAATCTAAATTTGCTAAATCAATACTTTGGTAAGACATTCACCAAGAAGGTCACGAAAAATACAAATAGGGACACATGTCAGAGTGACAAAACCAAAACTGGAAATGTTAAAATCATTATCTATGATTTAATCATGCCTGTAACAAGTGGATCTAAATGGTGTAAAAAGTGACGTAACTTAGCTGCTTTTTCTAATTTGAAATATCAGTTCCTGTAGTTGTCAGTATGGCGGGACGACTGGACGAACGCGGGGCGTATGAGAGGAACAAGCAAATCGAATCCCAACTCAAAGAAGAGAGAAAACAATTTAAAGACAAAATTCGGAACACAATGAGACTAGTCTTAGTAGGTGAGTATAAACGTTCTAGGTAAATGTGTGCCTTCCAATATTAGAGTTGTTGAATTCATTTTCTATATATAGGAAATATTTATGCTTCCTAACTTCCACAACTTTATACATGTTTGTTAAATTTCCATGCTAACTTTTGGCAGTAACAGTTCGATTACACTGTACTTGTATGCTTTCCAATATCACACGTGTTTCCTTTGTTCATAGGTGCTGGTGAATCCGGGAAAAGTACAATAGTAAAGCAAATGAAAATCCTACACAAAGGTGGATTCACTGATGAGTAAGTTGTCCTAGATATTGTGTTACAATTTTTCATTTTTCAATGGGTGTACGTTGTTATATTTTGTTGTAATATAGTGGTAGGTAAACAACTTGAATGTTGTACTTAATTTGGAATAATAGTAGTAAACACTTTACCGCTAAAATTGGATGAAACAAAACATAGTAATATGCAAATTGGTTAGCTATATAAGTGACCACAGAAAATAGGTTCATTGAGTTTATCCAGGCATTATAAGACACCATCGGCCCATCTCTGACAATAAACGATACCTCTTACGGTCTTCACTAAGTACAGTATTTTCTAATTAACAAATTTACTTCAATACATTTTGTAACCCTTTTCAGGGAACGGAGAGAACGAGTTATTGATATCAGAAGAAATGTGCATGATGCTATTCTAGTAAGTGTGACATTTACTCAGATCTGCAAAGATTATCAGTTTAACTTACTTTACATTTTTGTTCAATTTTTTAAACTGCTTTTTTGGGTATTGTTACCCATTCCATTGTCTGGGCTTCAAGACTGCCTTATCTAAATAGCCTATTTCCTTTTGATTTTATCTAATCTGGCAAATTTAAACCATGTTCCAGAGTTTTATTTGATATATCTACACCTGTCTCTTATACACATCTAGATGTGTATAAGAGACAGCATTCCATACTTTAGGACATTAAATTATTATTAACAAGCATTTTTGTTTGAAACGAAGAAGGTAAAAGTTAATTTTAATTGAATTATGATTATTGTTGCAGACAATTGGCGGGGTTATGAGCACTCTGAATGATCCAGTAGAGCTCGGAAATCCTGAATTACAACCGTTCCTTGATTACATTCTTGATGAGGGAAGCACTCCACACTTCCAACTTGATGAGGTAGACTTTTGTTCTTATATTATTTTGATCCAATATCTGTTTACATGTGTTTAGCCTTTAGGCAAGTTTCTTATAATTATTTGTAACTTCTCAACTAAACAATAGTTTTTTTCAATAAGGTACGTGGTGTACGGCAAGTGTTTCAAATATTGTAAGTGATTACGACGTTTACAATCATTTAGGAATTGTTTTTTTCTCGACAGAAATTCTACGACGCAGCGACAGCATTATGGGCTGATGAAGGCATCCAAGCATGTTATAATAGATCCAATGAGTACCAGCTTATAGACTGTGCCAAGTAGTAATATATCGGCTTTTATGTTATGTTACTAGGATTTGATATGAGTGGCGATTGAGCATCATTCCTGTTATCATTTCTTTTCTACTAGGCCAAATTGTCTTGTCTTGATTGTGCAAATTGTTTAGCTTCGGTTATATATTTCCTGTCTAGTTTTACTAACATAAAAATTTAACCCAATAAGACGCAGCGAAAATAAAATAACTAGGCAGAATACAGGGAAGCAAAAAGTAGTAAGACAACATTTTTAGTTTTTACCGAATTAGTACAGGTAAAGCAAATTGAGATAAAACCTACTATGTATATATTATATCAGTTACATTTAAATTTATTTTATAGTATAATCATAAATATATTCCCTTCTAATTTGTCTTTTTTTATTTGTTTTTGAATTTCAGTTAACATTTTTATTTTATATACTACTGTATTTTGTTCACTGTTATTTTCATTACAGTTTTCTTGACTCAATGGACAGGGTTCGACAACCCGACTATGTTCCAACTGATCAGGTAAGCAGACTGCATATTCATTATAAAATGTTTTGTTGACTTTTTGGCTATAAACATTATTAATTTACTCGTACTTTCTTCTCTGTAGGACATATTGCGATGCCGTGTGATGACGACTGGTGTGCTCGTTAGCGAGTTTCAAATCAAGACAGTTAAATTTCAGTGAGTCAATTGCAATTGTCAGTCTACATCATACATATTGAGGGGTGGATAGAGCTAAAACACTCTAGTTAATGCTCGTGCCATTACACAGTCTAACTCAGTAACCTATTAAATAATATTGTGTTGTTGCTGAACCCCAATGTGAATGTTTGATATAAGTTATTGTATTGATCTGTTTCATTACTCTACATTGCAGTTTACTTGACGTTGGAGGCCAGCGTGAGGAACGTATAAAATGGTTGCAATTGTTTTCAGGTATGTTTCAACACTTGTTTCTATAGAACTTTCTGGTGGTGATGACGATGATGATGATAAGAGATGATGATAGTAATGTGACGATGGTAGTGATGATGATGGTGATAAAAATAAAGCGTTGATCAAAAGTAAGCTTTTTTTTGTAAAGAGAACGGAAAAATATATATTCAACAAATAATATTTTTTTAGATGTGACAGCAATGTTGTTTGTAGTGGCAGCCAGTAGTTATGACATGACACTGAGAGAAGAAAATAAGAACAGGTTGTCAGAAGCTCTAGATCTATACAAATCAATTTGGAATCACAAGTAAGTAAGGTTATGGTTCTGTATTAAAGAAGGTATTTTGTACTCGGGATCAACGACTTAAACCTCCCATCCAATGAATGAAATAATCAGAACAAAAGTGTCCTACCCAAGATATTTACAGGTCTCAAACTCTGTCTGTCTCGCACCAAAGTTCAATCTCTTACCGGTTCGTTAATTGACTCTCAACTTGACGTTAAATAAATAAATACATAGAGCAAAATGTACCTTAGCAACTTAACAATATATAATCATAAGACATAGGTTACATTGATATTATAGTCCTTGACCTAGCTCATCCGAGCAAGTCTAGTCAATATTATTTATAAGCATGTTTACCAGAAGGGTACTTTACCTTTTGATTTGATTTGATTTATTCAATAAATATCACTTAAACTTAACAAACAGACATAGAAAATCTCGTTGACAGACGAAAAATCGGCAAAAAACGAAAAAGAGATATGATAGGATAACCCTCTAAGTCCCTTTTAGGGACTTATTTCCAGAAAAAAAAATACAAATAAATAACATTAATTCACAGTTGCATGGGTGCAGCCTTTGGTTGCTGATAAAAAAATGAAGTCAAATGCATCTAATGCTCTTTTTGCCGCATGCACAACTAGGCCTATGTACCCATTATGTAACTATGTGGCTCTTTATTTTTTTTGCAGATATCTTAGATACACGTCTGTTGTTCTCTTTTTAAATAAACAAGATATTTTGGCCGAGAAGATAAAATCTGGTCGCACAAAGCTGGGCGATTACTTCAAAGATTATCAAGTGTTTTCTAAGAAATCAACAATACCTGGTGAGTAAAGAAACCATTTTTCAGTATTTAGTTCAAATTATATTACTTATGACTGTATTTAATATATTTGTATTTCTAATTACCAACAGATGAAATTGACCGTGATCTACGCGAATTAACACCCGGATGCTGTGGCTTCTCCTCTCAAAAGGAATCTATAAAGAAAATCACAGCATACGGTGAGAAATGAACTTCCTGTGCTTTTTTTTTTTTTTTTTTTTTTGCGAACTTTGGATGGGCTTCTTTTCGAGGCTACTTTTGCAAAGTAAAGAGGGGTCAGGGAAGTTGAAGGGCTTCTTCCCGAGATTAAGGCCATTGGGCTTCTATTCAAAGTTTTACGGCATGTTTATTGTTGTATAACAATAATGATGTAATGTACAAGACTTTTGTATCTTTCTAGAGCCTGAAGATCTAACCAATTACCAACGTGCAGAGTTCTTTCGAGTAAAGATGTACATCAAGTCAAAATTTGAGGTAAAAGTTGATCCAATATAGAAACAAATACTGTAATAGAATACAGAACAGAAATCATGAAAATAAAAAAAAAATGAAAAAATAATAAAACTGCTATGTTTAAATTGTATATTAAACTGCTTTTAATGTAATACCAGTATTCGAACTGCTCTTAAATGTATGTATTTATCTAACAAATACTGTTTGAATACTAATTAATCCATCTACATTTCTTTTCTCAGGCAATAAGTACCTCAAAATCGGATGACCAGAAGTTCCGCAAGAACTGTTATCCACACTTCACATGTGCAGTAGACACAGAGAACATTAAACATGTGTTCGATTCTTGTAGAGACATGATACAGAGGTTACACTTAGCAAACACAGGAATTGTCCAGTGAAAGCATAGTGGTTCACAAACATGAAATCATATTCACAGTGGATACCATGTCAGCCGGCGATGAAATCCGACGCACTGTGTAAGCCATTGATTATGACATCTGCTGTTTTCCTCGAAGGTAATCTAAGAGGATCGTTAATAAAATGTGCTCTTCATGGTATTGAGGTCTTCATGAAATTGCACCGACCGTCGGCTGACGTTATGTCTACCTGTTCCTTGGCTTTACTGATATGTGATAATGCTTAGCGATATAAGAATGCTGGACCACTAATTGATACCTAGTTAGACAACTGAGTAATGTAGTTTTGCAAAATAAAAGCATTGAAGGGGCTGGATCATGGCAGCAAGTTGATCAGAACCATGTACATCCTGGAATAGGCCTATACTGCAATTTATCTGCGCTCTGTGAGTGCTCGCCCAAATTAAGCTTGGTTTCCATACAATCGCAACACTCTGTCTCCAACAGCTTTCAGTGATGCTGATTGGTTGGTCAAATCGGGGAGCCTTCCTGACTGCTTCTGGGACTGCTACCCAGTATGATTGCTAATCAGTACGACTGCACTGAAAACACTGTAGCGACAATGTAGCGATTTTAAGGAAACAAGGCTATAATGCTAGTGTGTTGATCGGCGGTGGTAATATGAGATGATCGTCATTGATGATCCATCACATGACGCATCATCGGCTGCTAACAGTGTTGCCAAGTTTTATATGCGTTTTTGATAATTTGCCACATATTTCAGAGCCTCCTGCTGAGGTGACCAAGAGGCATAATTTATTATATAACTCAAATTGGTATTCTGTAATTATTAAAAGAGTACAGATAATTGTACACAAACTTCAGTCCATGTTTATAGTTGTAATTCAGCGGGTCTTAGTTATTTAATATAATTATTGTAAAGTGGTTTTCCAAATGACAAATGCACCATCACGTCGATATGATCAGAACAAGCACCCTTCGATCAAGTACCAATCTTGTGATGGGGAGCCCTCGCGCAAATGCCAAATTCATGTCCACCAACCAGAGTAATCGTGCGTACTACTATGAGAATCGCATCATGACAACTAATAACTTTCAACAAGCAAACCAAAGGATGTGAAGCAGCCGCTTCAAACATTACTTGCAGTAAACCGAATCTTTATATGTTTAATATTTTCCTCCACAATGGAGGTTCTACGTTCACTGCTGTCTAAGACTGTTAGCAGGATTATGCAAAATCTAATGAATTGATCATCATAACATATTGTTCCATGAAATCACCCATTGTGTATTGTACAGTATTCAGGCACAGGGGTAGGCCCTCTAGAGTAACTGCTCTAATATCATAGTTTTAGTTGCCATTAAACCAAAAAATCCTTCGTACTCAATTTCTTAAAGTGCAGGTACAGCCTACCGTTGATACAGAGTTTAAAAAAAAGCCTCTAAAATATAAAATTCAGTATTGGATTTAAGCTAGTATCAGAAGTGGATTCAGAATTTTTCAAACAGGGGGGAATAGATAAGTGAGAGCACATAAATATTTTTGATTTAGTTGCAAATCGGGGGTGGGGGGAGGGGGAGGGCACCTGCCCTCCATACCCTCTACTAGATCCCTACCTGAGTATTAAGTTATTAGCTTTCAATCGGAAAAAGAATGAGAAAATATTTTCCTCAGATGCATAAATAATACTCTTCTGCTAATAATTTAGTATTACTGTTTGCATAGACAATTAACCTGGTTATAGGCCACTAATCTGGTAATAGACCACTAATCTGGTAACAAATCTATGTATTTCATTAGTCAAGTATGAAAATCGTTGGAGACTGAATTGTTTAAATCTGTGTATCTTTGAGGTAAATAACTTATTTAATTGATGAAGTATTCAAAATATTGTTAAGGCTTTTCCATTCTAATCTCAGGTAGTACTTAACATTTAATAAATGATAGAGATTTAAAATTACTAAAGAAACTAGTCAGTGTGTCAAAATTATTTCTGACACTTCTATTAATAAAATTTTGATATTTTCAATAATTTCTGAAGGCAAAGTTAAATAATTAAGTTCGTTTTTACAAAAATTAAATAAACTATTGATTACTGTAATATATTGACATTATGTTTTTTTAGGAATTTTATTGATAGGTTTATCAGGAAAATGAATGTACATATTAAGTACAATAATTATGTAAAGAAAGTTGCACTTTTCCTAATAAAGAAAATGCATACTGTACTTAAGAGCATGTCTGTTTTTCACATTTAACATATTACATGAATATAGATATACATCCGATAGCTCTGTTTATTTCTTTTTATTACGATACAGCTATCATACAACTCCAAAAGCTGATTATTATTGTAAACAAATTTTATTATACAATACCATTTATTGTAATAGGGGGGGAAAAGCATAAATACCTCTCTCACAGAATACAAACTATTTTTATTTATCATCTATGAATTGGTGCTGGCACAAAACAAATGTTTATTATTCTCATTATCATTATAAATTTCATATCACTGATAGAGGCACTTCTCTGTCAAGAAAAAAAAAGCGTATTTCATCTATATCTGAATAGCGCCTCATTTGATACAAATGCATTCAATACCTCCTATATTATTATTTTATTTAACTCAACATTACAAATATAGAGTGTGCTCAATTCCTCAAAAAATGATGAAATGCAGAGTATATCTTTAAAGACTGTGTCAAACAGAATTATAAGTATTATAGGTAGTACTAAACTCATCCAATTAAAGATCTGTCCACACTATAATATTTGACAAATTTGTGTGATGTGCCCATATAAGTGCATGATGATGTCATACTACGGCCAAATATGGGCGTATCACATGTATTTGTTACATAAAATTTGATAGTGTGGACAAAGCTTTAAAATTACTAAAATCTTACTTTGACTTTGTTTAGACAACATTAAAACACACTCTCTTCTGCTATATAATTGTTCATTATAACACATTTTTATAAATCTAGGCAAAGCAGCAAAAACTGTGGCAGTGCCAGGGGATTCACACCCACCTCAGCCCCACCGTTGTTACAGTAGGTCTTAGGTGAGCAAATGTTAATAGGCACCTCTAGATACATAGAAATAGCACTCTTAGGTCAGCTGTCCCTGGCTTAGTAAATGATTTTAATTAATTTTCTTCTAACAGATTTTACCTTGACACCCCAATGGCTGGGCTAAGTGTCCCTGACAGCTGGGCCCATTTGGCAATCCCGCTGGCACCACCCTGAGCAGAGCCCTCTGTAAGCTCTTAACACTTGGACGTATAGGTGGGTATCTATGTTAAAACACCAATGCACTGATTACTATCTGTGTAAAAATGTCATGTATTTTAGGCAAATTTTTAAATACATGACATTTAAATTCCCTATCTTTAGCCCTACAAATCAATCACACTGGAGCACATACATGTATCATTTTACATGACTACAGCATAGTCTATAATAACTTAAATTAGACCCACCAAGCTGTAGGTTCTAGGAACTTCAGCCTCAGAGACCCAATTACATCCAGTCACTCAATCTTGCAGTCCTACATGGCCCTAGATCTCTGTCGAGTCCTGGGCCACTAGGGTTAAAACTAAATAAAAATTGTAATAAAAAACCGAATTTGTTTTGCATAGTGTTGCGCACAAGTTTAAAAAAATATATTTTGGCATGTACTTTAAGAAACTGTTCTTGGCTTTGAAAAAAAAAAACCAAAAAAAACCCCCAAAAAACAATTGTGCCATGCAAACTTGCTGTTTTCCAACCTCGCAAAGACTGACTAAATAAAATCAAATATTAATTAAATAAATAAATAACGAATAATAATTAATAACGAAATAAAATTACTGTAATTTTCGTATATCCATACCAAGGATACAATTATGATGTATTTAAATGGAATGACCCATTCTTCGTCTATTAATTATGTTTCCATGTTGATGTATAATCCTAGGTCTCATTTGTTCCAGAATTTTCCACTGCCTCGTAATCTAAAAATAAATAAATTTGCAGCATATTAGAAGAAAAAAGATTAAGGAATATCTGATTTCATGTATTTCCACGAAAACTAATAGTAAACCATTTCCAGGTTGCCAGGTAATCAGGTTGGATATATACGGGTCCCAACCTGTGCGGGCATATTCCAATAGAGGGCGAACACAGGTTATGTACACAAGGCTTTTTAATTGTGGATTCCTAATATCTAAGTTTCTTCACAGGAAGTTAAGTACTGCATCAGCTTTTGACGTAACAATATCCACATGGGAGTTCCACTTCAGATGTTTGTGTATATTGATACCAAGATAGTTAGCATCATCAACACTTACTATTTCACTTCCACACAAGTGTAGTTATGCCGTGTTTGCTCTTTTTTTCTAGTTATAGAGATTATCTCGCTCTTATGTCATGAAAATATCTGAAGTTGTAAGCCCTAATCTGCCTGTCTGATTATAAATTAATAACAAAAATAACAAAAAAACACTGCTGAATGATCTTTCCACATTTTGCAAATGTATCATGTTAGTTGGGTGCGCAAATTGGCTGGGTTTAGAGAGCGATTATGATATTTGCATGAAAAACAAATAATCAATATTTTTGAAAATGGAATTTTTTGCCTGTAATTAACAGCCTTCTAGAACGCTCACATTTGATTCAGTCATGTAGCGAAAGTAATATTGTACAAAGAAAAAGTGTAAAACAAGACATTTACCCTCTGATCTTGGATGGTTTTTTGGTGGGTTTGGAGGGCTGTATGTCAGCTTCTCTTGTATCAGTGGACATGTGTTGGTCATCTATGTCTTGAGATGATGCCTTAATGGCCTTCTTGATATCAATTACCTTTAAAAGATCAAATGCAAGATAAGTATCACTTTTGCCATATTTTTGTCCCGCTTATAGGGATCAAATGGGGTCTTTATTGACTAGCTACTACTGGTGAAACCCTTCTAAAATTCAACACCCCCCCCCCCCCCTCTTCACTCACTCACTGGATTATTACCATACACTATTATTATTTTAAAAAAGGGTCATAATAAAACATCCTCATCGCGGCCCTGGGTAAAGCCAATTCTACCCCCACCACACAGGTATACAAGGAATACTTGTTTGACCATTGTCATCATGCCTAGACTAGACCAGAACAGGTCCTTTCTAGGGCCTGCCCTTATGGTCATATCTGCAAACTTCAAAGGTTTATTTGGGCAGGATAAGAAGAAAATTATAAGAAAGTCATATACATTTTTTGCACCCCTGACCCCATTTATATTGAGTAAAAATCAAATTTTCTGTAGAACTCACCTCTGATTCTATTTGTTGTCGTTTCTTGATGCAACTTTCTTTATTTTTGTTGGCTCTTAAAATCTGCTCTTCAATATTACTTAAAACAGTCTCGCATCCATCACACCTAAAGGGAGATGAATTTATAACAGTTATTTCAAAATTGATTGATACATTTTATTTATACCTTTAGTCATTATGTAAATATAGCTCTTAGGAAGATAGAGAAGCACCTTAGAGCGACTGTCATCATCAATGATGGCACACAGTCATATGCTACAAATGGAAATCTGTTGGACACATAAAAACTTTGCATATTATTTGCATATTAACCAACATAATCATTTTAGAGCATATTGAATCACAGTGGCTTGTATCACTTCTTTCCGAGTTTGTACCATACAAACGTCATTTATGTTGAACTTTAATGCTGAACCACATGGTTAGTGCATTATTACTTTTTAAAAAATCATGCACTATTTACTATTTTTAAATAGTGCATGATTTTTTTTTTCCCTTTTACTTAAAAGTGATTGAATTTGCTGGTATGATTCTTTTGATTAGTTGATTGATTGAATAGTTATTATCGTCATTGTTATCATCATCATTCCTGAGGAGCTACTAACCATTGCTGAAGTGTGTTGACAATGTCTACGATGGCCTCTTGCCTAATGTCCCTACCTATGGCGTAGTCTACCTCCAATTGCTGGTTCTTTTGGTCTAATTTTCCTTCTATTACACCGGCATATATTGTTTCAATAAATAAATCCTAGAAAAAAACACACTTCATTATTATTGAATCTTTTACTATAAAATGTCAATGCAAAACACACTTCATTATTATTGAATCTTTTACTATAAAATTTCAATGCAAAAGGCCCCGGGGCATTTGTTGTTGAGAAGGGTTTTAAGAGAGGCATTTGTTTGAGGGAGGCGTATATTTATTTTGGTGTAAAATGGATACGTATATACTCAAATAAACTCAACTTAATTCCACTGTAAATGTGGAAGTACAACACATAATTGCCATCAACATGTGTTATTGAATGATCATAAGTTTTATTTATCCCAACCAGGTTAGAAAAAATGTAATTCTACTGGAGTAGAACATTAATAGAAAGTGTTGAGAATGATTTTGCTTCGATTAGATTTGTTTACGGTCATTTTGGGGAATTCATTGAATAAAATAAACGTCTGGGGCATTTATTGGAGGGAGACGTTTATTCTAAATGAGGCTCCAGAAAATATATGTGGCATATCATATTTGGTTAAAATACTTACTGTTATTCACATTAATAAAGTTAACATTTCTGCATATTCTGAGATATATGATTTTGATAAAATTAAAATAAACATATTCATTAATAACAACAATTCATTAATAACAACACTTACTTCTAATTCTCTTAAATTATTCACATCAAGTTCAGTTTGCAGAAGAGTGTAAGGAATACGTTTGCACTTTGCTGCTATGGAAACTATCGTTAGGTGTCGCAGTTTTGAAACGGCTGGCTTTGAGAGTTCTGGGAAGTTACTGGGATCAGCTGAAGGGTTTTAGAAAAAAACATATTTATAAAAAAAAAGGGGGTGATTTGTTATATTATGATGAAGTCGATAAATTAATAGAGAACATGTTTTTTTAATTACTTTTTAGATTTTTTGTTTCAGTCAATCTAGTTGTATTGTGAATGTTAAAGATGTATTGTCCCATGCAAAATACCAAAAAGAATCTTAAAAATGCTTTTTGAAATTAACTTGAACATAGAAATTAGTGTATTTAAAAAATGTTTACACATAATTTTACGGCAAAAATGATGGAAACACTTCCAGAGACTGGGAGTATCTTATTATTTTTAACATTATCCAGTTTAAAAATCAGGGTACATATTTTTTTAATGCAACAATTTATATGCTCTGGTTAATAATTTGTATGTTTGTTGCTGCAAAATGAGCAAGTTAATTTCAAAATTATTTCTTACTATTTTTTTTTTTTTTTTCATTTTTAGGGGGCAATACATCTTTAAGGTTATACTGTAGTTTTTTTATTGAATGCTAATTATGGACTTGCTTTCAGAATGAAGTTGTAACTTGTGGTAAAGATTTCTGCTTTCAGGGTCCCAAGTCTATATGCTGCAAAACAGCAGGGTTTCTTCGTAAATAGGCTGTTTATAAAGCATCGTTCAAACATGTACTTATGTGTTGGATGTGAAAGACGTTACTTTTAAATTGGACTTTTTTTTTTGTTCATTTGATTATTACTGTGTTATATAAACAGTTTAGTTTGTTTGCTATTTTTGTAGTTCATATTTTTCAATGTTCTGTTTTTGAATATGAATGAAATTAAATTGTAAAGTGTATTATTACCTTTGTAGTCTTGATATGTTCCATAAGCAAACAGGTTTAAAAGGTTGTGCCACTTCTTGTGAGGTCCCTCTGCCAACTGAAAAAATGTCATCATTATTTATAATTTAGCTCCTATAAAAACAATAAAATAAGGCCTGTGAAGGGAATATATCCTCCACGGAAAAAATTAGGCCTAAAAATCTGTCTAAGCATTTCACAAAATAAAGGCAGATTTCTGCAGAAAATGAATAATGGGATGAAAAAAATGTATATCAATTGAATTTATATAACCAATTTTGTAATACTATTTTCACCCTAATCTACTACCTTACCTCTTGAACATTTGGCATTTCCAGGAGCTCTCCAAACACATAAATCCCTGGTGCTTCAACAACTTGCATTATTAGGGCGGTCATCGCACCAGCTTTGGTACCTTTGGCCAATAGTAGAAACTGTTCAAGGCCCTGGTTACCAGCATTACTCAGTTTACCTGTATCTGACATCTCTAAAATATTGTCCTGACTCCTTGTTTAAAAAAAAAAAAAAAAAAAATTATATATATTATATAGGCCATATATATCTTATGGTATATTCAATGTTGATACGTTACTGTATACAAATTTCATACGTACAGTAACAATACAAATTATGTACAAGAAATTTATATTAAAATTGTATCCTTCTACTTTTACTATGGTACTCTGCATAGTCTTAACCACGGTTTGGATTGGATTGGATGTTCCTAACGGTAGCCGATCATTTCGGTCGCGTTTTTTTTCGGTCGGGGTTTATTTTTCGAACAAATATATGGAGCGCCAAATAAGTTGTGAAAACGCAAAATTTAATATGCCTAGGCCCTATATATTATTACAATTAGTTCGTCAATCAGTTTATCATAGGCCTAAGTATTTTTTTTATTTCCGTTTTGCTATCTTTCTACTAAACAACATTTTATCTTTCTACAGTACTAATATATTCTCTTCCATTTACGGTGATATATTCATGATTGAAACATGATTTTATGATTGAAACAATGGAATTTAGTATGTGCTTCATGCTATTCTTTTTGTTGTGTTTTCATATACTATACTTTAATAATTATGGTCAATAAAATGTATCTTTGATTTTAATTGAATTGAATGTTGTTACCATCTAAAATCTATTTCATAATTTAGTTGAAACAATAATCATTACAATATTTAATCCGATCTTTTTATACAATAAATTTATTTATTTTTCTTGCAGCTTCCAGAGTTTGGGATAAAACATACCAGGAGAATTGAAGGAAACACAATTAAAGAAAAAAACGAATAATACACACATTATCATTCTTCACTTGAAATCTTTAATTTTCTTTGATAAGTAAGTAGGCCTAGGCTCTGTCTCTTATACACATCTAGATGTGTATAAGAGACAGTATATATATATATATATATATAAGGCTATATACACATACATATATATATTTATACATACTGTATATAATATTATATATAATTTATACATATTTATTTACATTACACATGAAATCATATAACAAATATATATTTTACTATCCATTTATTTTTGTATTATATAAACATGATCAGCAGCCAGCGCAGACGATTCGAAGTTACAGGTTTCATGAAGTAGGTGAACACACGTGAAGTGGTGAACTGCGCTCCAGCGCACGTGTTTGTACCTAGAAATAGCTAGTCGTCTATTTTAGCCTCTGACCTACTTTTGTCTTTGCAGTAATGTATCAAAAATGGAAATAAAACAAACAAGAAATCACAAACCTTGTGTCAGTTTCGCCTTAAGAGTACCATGGAAATCAATTTGTGGGGAAAAAAAATGTATGCGAAACTAATCTATTGACTATACTTATTCCATAAATCTTTATTTGATTCAAACATTAATAATAAAAACTATATCAAACAATAAAAAAAAGTATCTCAAACTCAGTCAACTTCGTAACATCTGTGTTGTTTATGTAAAAAAAGAAAAATAGCACCAAGTAATATAGTAACAATAATAAACTTTAATACTAATAAAAAGAATTGTTATTAAACTAATGTTTAAGTAATTTAAATAATCGGTTGGCTGGTTTTTCCTGATAAAAAGTTTGATTTTAATAAATAATATCATATCAAAAAACAATACCGTACTAAGAGAAATACCAAATTTTTAGTATTCATTTTATTTGCTGTATTTGTTATGTAGTAGGAAGCGTAAGATCGATTACAAAACGAAAATAAAAACCGTCTGATAAAAGAGTAAAATGGTAACTAGGAATGCAACAAACTAGAAAATAACCTATAAATACCATAATATTAATTGAAATTTATTTTAGTAATAATGGTATTCATTTTATTTGCTTTTAAGTAGCCTATGTTGTTACTTAGTAGAAAGACAACAAAACATAAATAAAAAAAAGTATGATAGACTGATTGACGAACTTACAATTACAAATAGGCCTAGTTACATTAAATTTGGCGTTTTCGCAACTCCACTGGCGCTCCATATATTTGTTGAAAACAAACCACGACCGAAATGAAGCGCGACCGAAACGAAGAAGCGCGAGCGAAATGATCTGTATTTTATTTATATTATTTAGTACGTAGTAGTACTTAGTAGTAGTATGTATGAATGAGTATACAAAACTTAATGAATGTATTTAAAATCTGAAACTGATCAAACACTAGGACTGCGTATCTGAAGAGACATGCAAATGAAGGAACTTAAAAAATGTCCCCTATCTAGGCTAGGCCTGGGCATTGTCAGACCTCGGTAGACTCCTTCTACACACAGGCTGGCCTGGCTGTATTGCATTTGTATTTTACTATGTAGGCCAAAGACCAACATGTTTTACCCTAGATTTCTGTTTATTATTCTTCAATAATTTATAATAAATTCTGAGTAATTAATGATGCTTATATATTTTTACTTGTCATGTTGCTATATATAGTTTTATAGTAATTTAAAATATTAAATAAAAAAAATATATATTTACCACAGGAACAACTGCTAACTAGAAAATAAACATCCGCCCTCTAATTTTTACCTAATTACTAGCCTAAATTCCAGCCGTAATTTACCAATGATCCGGCGAAGGTGACGTCAGAGAGAAGCCGAAACCATGGAATCCTTCGCTGGGGGTCGGTAGTCGAAAAGTAGTGATCAGTCTGTGTTGCTTCGCAGTTATGGATATAAAAACACCTTTTATTCATATCTACACACATTCACGAATTCACTTTCATTGCAATGGTTTTCAAAAACATCGCTTCCATTCAAATTTCAATACACATTGAAATGTGTTTTAAAATCAACGTTCAAATAGGAAAAAAACCTTTGCTAGGCGACAAGATTGTTCCGCAAAGCATAATGTGAGTAGGCTCACAGAGATATGAAGATCAGTCAAAATGGCGGATATGTTGGAGAGTAGTTTGACTTCCATGGACTGGCTCCCTCGCCTAAGTGTAGGGGGAGCATTAAGTGGCAACCCCATTGCAGGTAGTGGTGGTGCAGATTCTAAAAAGGGGCTTGTACCAATTCGTAAATCCCCAGGATCACCCACAGACCCGAGTGCAGTTTGGGAAAATGGATCGGAACATCATCATCAGCAACCGAAAGATGGTAAACCTCCGTACAGCTATGCAAACCTTATTACATTTGCAATCAACAGCTCAACGAATAAGAAAATGACGCTGAGTGAGATTTATCAGTGGATTTGCGATAACTTTCCTTATTACAGAGAAGTTGGCAATGGTTGGAAAGTAAGTAGGCCTAGGCTAGGCACCTTTTTTTCAGTTACATCACACGCTGCACTCACTCTTCGTCACTCTCTCAGGAATCAGGTCCACATTCGTACTGTCACTACACAGTCACAGTCGTGAGAGACTGGGTTGCGTAGATTCTTACCTTAGTGATTCTTACCTTAGTGATATAAGGAGGCAATGAGTCTCGTAGAGACTGCCTCCTCTCGATGTTTCCATGTGTCGGTCATCCATAGGAAACTTTGAAGTGGTAAAGTGTTGTGCATGAGACTACATATGTTGTGGTAAATTGTTCCATGGTTTGATTACTCTGGTGTCAAAGAAAGAGTCTCTAAACACCGTTTTGTTTCGGGGAGTTAAAAGTTTATAAGAATGACCATGTGTATGATGAGTCCTAAATTCAGGATGTGAAATGTTAAAGAAATGCTGAAAGTTGATATTTTCAATCCCATGAATTAGTTTAAAAACCTCTATCATGTCCCCTCTAATCCTCCTGTCTTCAAGGGATGGTAAATCAAGGACACGTAATCTATCCTTTGCAGTTAGGTCCTGAAGGTTAGGAACAAGAGAGATCTTCAATCCAGCGGAGAGGAACAAAAACAAGAAGCAAAGAAGATAGACGTATGGTAGGGAGGGCTAGCCTAGGTCTAGTCCTGGGCTAAACACCTTACTTTTTATTTATTTATTTTTTTGCTTTTGTTTATACTGCAGTGCCTATGCACTGTGGCACAGGTTGACTCAGATTTCTGCTGTGCCTAGGCCTAGTGTAAATGTAACCTTGATTTATCCTTGATTTACTGTACCTTGATCTTGAAGCTAAAGTATTAAAGCTTATTCGCCCATCTGTCTAAGTCTCTTTACATACGGTTTAAACTTCTGGTGGTGATTTAGCCAGTGTTCTTCGAGCCTTGATTTGAATTAATAAATTGATTATGAACCCACAGCTTCAACTGACAAATTATTCTAAATCGTTAATTTTTACTCTCACACTAAAACTTTGTTCTCCCCCACTTACTTAGTTTTAACTTTCGGTTTCTTTAATTTTAGTGAATGTCCCCTAGTAACTACAGTTGATGACAGTTCAAAAAAATTACCAACATCCAACTTATCAAAACCATTAAAAATTTTAAATACCTGGATAACTGATGCTCTCTTCCCTCTATAAGCTAGTGTTGGAAGGTCTAGTCTTGTTAGTTAGCCTATTCTCATAATCCAGTTCCCTCAACTCAGAAATTAATTGAGTAGCTTTTTGTTGTAATTTCTCTAATCTATCTTCATCTTCAAGGAATCTAGGCACCCAAACATTGTTACAATATTCTAATGAGACGAATTAATAACTTATACAATAACAAAAAGCTATCTCAATCCAAATGTTAAACGATGAATAATTCCCAATTTCTTATTCGCCATAGAAATTACATGTGAGACATGAGACCAGAAATTTAAATCTATAACAACACCAAGATCTTTCATTTCACTAACAGCTTCTAATTCAGTCCTATTGTTCTCCCAGACTCGTAAGTCATAATCTGTTTAGATTCTTGTTTTTTTCTATTCTCTTTGCAGGTACAGCTACAGCAGTTAAAGTATTACAATGATGTAATTCTAATCTCATCAAAATCTACATCAGACATGGGAATCACCATTTATCCTGCCAGTTAATCATCATTCATTATTTTTATCATACATTCATCAGCATTTTCAATCATTTCAACATCATTAATATTAACTTCACCATGTCAAGAAGAGCAGGACAATTCTTCACCAGCATTGACGTTATCATCTTTATTCTAGGCTCTACTACATCATTCTTGATCATCATCAAGACCACTTTATTACCCGTATCATCTGCCTCATCATCACCGCTGTCACGGACATTATAATTATTATACCATATCAACATCAACATCATCATCGTCTATGACATCAATACCGTCATTGACATCATAATCATCATCACCAGCAGCATAATCAGCAGTAAATATGCTCTTGAATTAATGTTGAAAACAATATTGGCCAAGTGTGTTTTTTCATGAATGTACTGAATAATTTTATTAATTTTTCACTTCTGCCCTCTCATTCAATCATTATTGTTGTTAAAGATTAAACTTTTTTGTTTTGTAAGACAACTTTTCTTTCTGTTTCGCTTTCCAGAATTCAATACGACACAATTTATCTCTCAACAAATGTTTTATGAAGGTGCCCAGATCGAAGGATGACCCAGGAAAGGTTAGCAAATGAATGGATATTATTGTTTTTTTGGTTTATAACATGAACAAATTAAATTTTCTAAATGCTGCTTTTGTACTCTTTAGAAATCTTGACCTTTCTTTTGAAACTTAGTTGATACAAAATGATTCCTGATGTGTTATATGTATTGAATGCTCAGTACATTCCCAAATGCTTGCGAAAAAAATCTCGGAAGTTACTTGGGTGGGAATTGAACCCACAATCCCAGGTAACCTAACTACTAGACTACCAATGCTACGCTTGGTGGCTAGTGATGAATCTGATCCCCAAGTAGCAGCAGGTACTTGCAATACTAATTCGGATGGCGTTTTGCGTCAGGAGAAATAATATGAAAGAATGTTTGCCCTACCTGAGGTGTTATACAGTTATACTGTATGTACTGAATGCTCAGTAGATTCCCAAATACCTCCGAAAAAAACTTAGTTGACCTTTCACTTTCATAATAATAACACTTGTTAACTTGATGATGCATCCATATATAAAAAAATATATATAAAAAAAATATAGTAAGATACAAAAATATATTCTATTCCTAAATGGTTATGAGTTTCTGTAAACTTAATTATTTATATTAAAAATAACATTTGCTATTCATAACAAAGTAAATCATGTTTTGAAAGTGCTGAGTCAGAGACTTGAAGAGTACCCCTTTATAAAAACATGGCACCATCTTCATAGTTAATGTCTCATTAACATCATTTTCAATATTAAGGTAAACACTTGAATTTCCGATGGTCGTATTTAATGACAGGTAGATGTGTGAACACGTTGATTTTCATTCATTGAGTCACTGGTTGCATGCTCTTGTATACTGCCCTCAGGAATTGAACTTATAATGATGAAGTTTGCATGGAGTAAAATTACATATTCAGGTTACAGATAATAATAGCTAAAGGGGAGATATTTGATAATAAAGCTTTTATGAATCAGCAAAATATTGAATAATTGTGCATTTCTATTCCAAATTTTTCTCTTTATATTTTTTATTTACTTTTATTTAATATTTTTTTAATTTACTTTCATTTTTATTTTTTAATTTACTTTTCTATTTTTTGTTCAGGTATAAAAATACTTATTTATGATAGTTAATAAGATCGATTAATTTCAATAAATATTAATCATTTATGATCATATATTTAATACAGTGTGTATTTATTTCCAATAGGGTTCATACTGGGCCATTGACCTAAATCCACCAGAGGATCCACTGATGGCGAGGCAGAAACAGCGGAAGAGGAGGAGCAGTGGAAACAGGGTAAATTGAAATGTAACCATTATCACAAAACAACACGGTCAATATATATATATATATATATATATATATATATATATATATATATATATATATATATATGCTATTCATACTGTTAATCTTTATATATTTTATTTATTTATTCAGGTATAATAAGCATACAAAACTTTAGCCAAGGGCTGACAATGTAATTGTTTGTATTACAATAAAATTTAATAAAAAGTAATAAAATGTTATACATAAATTGCAAAGGAAGTATAAAGACAAGTTAATACAAAACAGCATTACGTTAAATACATTATTAAAACACACAATTAAAAGACTAGACAATTTTTTAAATAATTTTTTATTCAATTCTCAACCAACAGAGATAGAAACCGCCAACAGGTTGGAGAAAAACATATACATACAAAGAAACAATCTGTTCATAATAACACTTTATGAGTTCCTATACAATTGGGAAAATAAAAGTAAATGTTCTAATATGGTAAACAGTCCATATAGTACGCAGAACTGTTGACAAAATAGATCAGCAAATCTAATATTTTTGTGGCTTTATCAATTTTTGTATTGAAGTATTACACATGCTAGCAAATTTTGCAGACATATAAATACTGTACAACACATATTAATGTTTTTTACAGAGGAATAAAAAGAAGCTAAATACAGTATACAACGAATAGATCCTCTTCCTTATTTCTGCTCATCTTAAACAAAATAACCTTTGACATAGTTCTTGTTTAATTTACCCAAAAAGTTCACACAATTTCATCCCACCTCATGTAGTTTCTTTGGACAATATGGATTTATTCCACTTCTGTTCAATAACATTCACAATAACTGGAAATGTGTGTCAAACCATCTGTCTTAAGTACTGTTCACTGTAATTACATTTTAAAATTTATTGTTCATAATTTTAATTTTGTGTTTACTTAATTATCTAATAGTTAATAATCTAGGGACATCCGTTTCTGTAACATCCAACAACAAGTACAGTAGTCTTAAAAATTTTCTTGATGGAACAATAAGTAATCAAGTTTTAGTTGTGATAGAAAATGTTGGTATTTTGTTTCACATGATTTGGACCTGTGACCCTGAGACTGCGAGGCAATCATCATAAGTAGAACACAGCTCCATGCAATCAAATTTACTTCATTCACTTGTTACTTGCTAAACTACAAGTGCCGGGAACCAAGGAGGCCAAGGCCTGTAATAAGGCCCCGGACTAATCTTAAATAATAATAATAACAAATAACAAAGAAAAAAAAACACCTTCAAATATAAGGCAAGAACAAAGAAAAAGACAAAGCATAAAACAACAAACAAGCAAGCCAAGCCGGGAAGAACGGTACAAATTAAACAGATGAATGGAATGAGGAGAGCTTTGAGGCCCTGTTGGCATGAAACACATCTATAATTAATATTATTATTATTATTATTATTATTATTATTATTATTATTATTATTATTATTATTATTATTATTAATAAAATTTACACAGAGTGGTATTTTTTGATCAATTGATTTTTTTAGCTTAGTTTTAAATTGGTTGAGGTAAGTATATAATATTAAGAATAAGAATGAGTATTTCAATAATGAGTAAAGTTTTCTTTCCTGTATTGGCAGATTTTTTGTGACTAATCATAATTTAGCTTGCAACAGATGATTAGTGAAACAGTATACACATATCCCCATCATTACTCAAAGCAGACACAGTTCTTAAACTTGCTTAGATAGCTGTTACAGTTGTCGTCAGTTTGTCTGGCTTGTTTTTTTTCCTACATCCTCAAGTTATATCAAATTATATGAAGTATACATTTATACTCAAACTGACTATTCAGCATTTCAGTACACAGAGTGCAATATGCTCACTGACAGTCAACCAAGCACTGATGAATCAGTTTGGTATTAAAGAAATCAATGAACAAATTTTCTATTGAAAAAAAATTCAAGAGACAGTTATAATTGTGATGCAAATTTCACGTCTATAATAATAATGCATATTCTTTATGCATTATTAATAGTAATTATTTCTCACCTCTGCCTATTCAATAACACCAGTTGTCTCTGATCTATAATTGCTGTGGCACAGTTCTGCATAATCTGTCTGGTGATCAGGTGATCGATTTATTTATTCATGCGGAACTAATGATTGTATTGTCCAGCCATACCCTGGCCAATGTCTGCTATATATATGAATAAAGCACTATAGAATTTTCTCCATTGTTTTGCTATTGCATGTAGTCTTTTTAACAATATAGCTACGAGAAGTTTACATTTTAAAAATTTATTTCCAGTTATTGTTATTTCTGTGTGCCAACTGAAATTGTTAAAGTATTTAGCTTCTTGATACCTTTATTTTAAACTGACAGAGAACCCCTCAACAGCGGCCTTTTTTTTTTTTTGTCTTTTTGTAGGCCACAGAATGTTTGTTACAACAGCCTTGTGTATTTTTAGCAATTTTTTTAAAGACTTCATAAGAAGTGTTATACAAAATAATGTTATATATTATTTAAACCTATTGTACGTTGTTCCTACAAAAAACCTATCTGAAAAGCACACAGCCCTCCCTAAAACAATCCTACATTGGGCTGTTAATTATTGCTTCACAACACATCACATTTCTAGCTAACCTCATCTTTACAATGTTAGTATTCCTAATTAAGTTAATTATGTTATTATTTTTTTATTTCTAGTCTCCATACAGCCCAGAAGACAGCTTGCATAGCTCGGGAGGCAGCATAGGTTCACCCACTTTAGCATCACTCAATGTGCATCAGTTGCAACAGGTAAATTTTCACATAGTTAATTTCATTCATTTTAACACTGCCTACCAAATATTATTGGTTATTCATTCATAGAAGGCAGATGCTACAATTGTTTAAACTGAAAATATCTTGAGGAGGGGGGCAGCCAGGACATGTAGGATGTTGCCTGGACAGCTGAAAGAGTGACATTGCATGGACAGTTGGAGGAGTGATGTTGCCTGGACAAGAGTAGGAGTAACACTGAATGGACAGCTGGACAATTGATGTTGCCTGGACAAGAGTAGGAGTGACGCTGAATAGACAGCTGGACAATTGATGTTGCCTGGACAAGAATAGGAGTGACGCTGAATAGACAGCTGGATAATTGATGTTGCCTGGACAAGAGTAGGAGTAACACTGAATGGACAGCTGGACAATTGATGTTGCCTGGACAAGAGTAGGAGTGACACTGAATAGACAGCTGGAGGAGTGATGTTGCCTGGACAAGAGTAGGAGTGACGCTGAATAGACAGCTGGAGGAGTGACGTTGCCTGGACAACAGTAGGAGTGACATTGAATGGACAGCTGGAGAAGTGATGTTGCCTGAACAAGAGTAAGAGTGACACTGAATGGACATCTGGAGAAGTGATGTTACCTGGACAAGAGTAGGAGTGACACTGAATGGACAGCTGGAGAAGTGGTGATGTTGCCTGGACAACAGTAGGAGTGACGCTGAATGGACATCTGGAGAAGTGATGTTGCCTGGACAACAGTAGGAGTGACGCTGAATGGACATCTGGAGAAGTGATGTTGCCTGGACAAGAGTAGGAGTGACGCTGAATAGACAGCTGGAGGAGTGATGTTGCCTGGATAACAGTAGGAGTGACGCTGAATGGACATCTGGAGAAGTGATGTTGCCTGGACAAGAGTAGGAGTGACGTTGAATAGACAGCTGGAGGAGTGATGTTGCCTGGACAAGAGTAGGAGTGACGCTGAATAGACAGCTGGAGAAGTGATGTTGCCTGGACAAGAGTAGGAGTGACGTTGAATAGACAGCTGGAGGAGTGATGTTGCCTGGACAAGAGTAGGAGTGACGCTGAATAGACAGCTGGAGGAGTGACGTTGCCTGGACAACAGTAGGAGTGACGCTGAATGGACATCTGGAGAAGTGATGTTGCCTGGACAAGAGTAGGAGTGACATTGAATGGACATCTGGAGGAGTGATGTTGCCTGGACAAGAGTAGGAGTGACATTGAATAGACAGCTGGAGGAGTGATGTTGCCTGGACAAGAGTAGGAGTGACATTGAATAGACAGCTGGAGGAGTGATGTTGCCTGGACAAGAGTAGGAGTGACATTGAATAGACAGCTGGAGGAGTGATGTTCCCTGGACAAGAGTAGGAGTGACGCTGAATAGACAGCTGGAGGAGTGATGTTGCCTGGACAAGAGTAGGAGTGACGCTGAATAGACTGCTGGAGGAGTGACGTTACCTGGACAAGAGTAGTAGTGACACTGAATGGACAGCTGAAGAAGTGATGTTGCCTGGATAGTAGATGATTAATGCTACAGTACCTCAATGGGTAGAGGAGAACCAATATGTACACTAGTTTTCAATTGTCTAAATTTTTTTGCTGTGTTTTAATGTTAGACACCTTGATACAGATGTGTGCATTACAAATTTCATATATTATTAATGTTTTTTTCCAGGGGGATTTATCCAACAGGTTGTTTGATTCAAATCCTAACATTGAAGATCTCAGTGCATCATTCAGAAGTCTATATAAACAAGTTTTTGATTCATCACAAGGTAAGTCCTTTTGCACTAAGTACATCGACCATCATTAATACAAACGAAACAGTCATCAATGTTAACTCGGACTCTCCCTAAGTTTACTGTTAATGAAAATTAAATAATTCTATTAAATCTGACTAGATTTGTATTCTGTAATGTTTGTTTATAATAATAATAATAATAGTAACCCAAATAAACATGCACGTAAACACTCAACTTTTTTCCGTTTTGTAAAGAAGAAGGCAATACAAATAAATAGGAAAAGGCAAATTTGTACAAAAATTTTAGGTCATCCACCACCATTCTCTCTGTATCATTTATAAAGAACTTGATGTTGATGAATTCCAAGACTGTCGTAATGCTATACTGTACTACATCAGACAAAGTTTGATCAAACATTTAGAGTCCGACGGACAAAAACTTGTATGCTTGGAATAATACGAGTTGTCGGAAATCAGAAAAGTCAGTACATATCAGACAATGCAGATTTTGTTGTCTGTATTTGACTACTGTATCAGTTGGTAGGTGGAAAAACGCATTCTGGTTATGGAAGCACAAGTTTCTTGTTGCGATCAACTTGTTTACTTCCTCCACTGAATGTATCTATTTCAGAACAGCCTCCAGCAGAATTTTGTCCTACTTCATCACTATCCAAATTTAACATTGGTTGTTGATGTTTAAACAAATGCACTGTACTCTTTAGCATAACATTTAACTTGACAGTTGATCCGTCCAAAACATTACCAATGCCACATAATCGAACTAATGAGCTGTAGGTGGTTTGGCAAGACTTTTTTTATCCCTTGTTTTGCAAGCTTATTTTTTAAAGATCGTCAGAGGAGGGGGGAAAATGTAAAAATAAAATTTAGTTTCTTTAATTTAGCAAATAGTTTTGCCAAAATCATCCAGACAGAGGAGGCAATAAAAATATATATTTATTGGTGATTGTACACAGTGTAGTAATGCGATGGTTAAATGATTTAAATTTGTATAATTAGGATGAAATATACATATCTTATTTTTGGAGATTTCAAGGCAGTGGCGGGTATAATAAAAATAAAGAAAAACATTTATTTTTTTCTGAAATTTCCAATTTTTTCATGGCAGCAGGCATTTTTATTTGAAACCATCATTATTGGTGGACAGTGGGTTCGCTAAAAATTCTATAAAAAAATTTTGCCATTAGGATGGTGGCTTACAAACCTAGAATACTGGTTTAATGTATTATATTAACAGTCTTTATATCTTTTACTATTTTTTTTGTGTATAGGTAGTGTACAGTTCTTACAACATGTTGCAAATAGTTCATCAGGCTCACATCTGTTCAACATGTCCCACAATAGTAATGGGTCACTAGGAAGCAGTGGGGGCAGTGCCAATGAAATACCACAGATCAACGTACAGACAAGTTGCTCAGCTAACAATTCTTGTGAGTATTTATTTTTCAAGTGGCACTCGCATCAACTGATATAAATAATTGTGAGCTTTAATTATAATGATATAGTAATCATTATCTTCACCGAATTATCTTTTTTATTATCATCAAAGTCATCATCATCATCCAAGTCATCATCGACATCATGATCTTCATCATAATCATTATCAAAAATTCATTAACATCATCTCCATCATAATCATCATTATAATCATCATCATCAGTATCAAAATCATTATCAGTATCAGCTATGCAGGCCTCAAATTTTACCGCGGCCCTTGCCGACGGTGCCCTCCCAGTTCGCCTTGGTGCCCCTGAAAATGAAGCACTTGCCTGCCCTTTTGAAGCCTTGGCCTCGGTGCCCTCACGATGCTTAATATGGATCGTTTGACACGTAAAATAAATCTAAGTAACGTTTAAATCTTGAAAGAAAACATGAAAGTCAAAAACGTAGGTCGCTTAAGCTAGCCTAGGCCTAGGCCAGGTTGCAGTGACAGAACAGAACATGAGAGAATTTCCATGTGTGTGTTGATACGAACTGTTTTTGCGGTTACCGTTGTGTGCGTATGCGTCTTACTCTAGTGGTTATTGCAATATAAACATGGGCTCATTTGACTGGTTCATTTCGTTGGAACGAATTTTCGTTGAGTATTATTTTCGACTGGTTCATTAAATAGACTTCGTTGACAACGAAAATTAACGTAAACCAGGGTGCGTTAATCAGCATTAAGTTATCCACGTGACCAAAGAGAAACATGGCCGATTGGTGATTTTTTATTAACAACATTTGCGTTAATATAACTTAGATTAAATTTCATAAAATAAACATAATAATATTTACCCACATGGAGTCAAAAAGTTATTGTAGGCAAACAGAATAAAAAAAACTGGATGAAAATATATTTTTTTTCAAAAAACCCATACTACCTCAAGTTGAAGCAGTCTTGATTACGCAACGTGTATCGTGGTAACTATACAGCCATTTTGTTTTGTCGAGTATTTACAAGTTTTCTATTCGACTGGTCGTCTTCGTTGAGTAGGATGTTGTTACCGTTGCGCGCAGGTGGGCGTGGTTTAACAAAGAACGACCAGTTGAATACGGCCTTTGTATAGTTGTAAACATGTGCTTGCTGCACAGCTAACTTTGGGCGATCTTACGTCATCGCAGCTTTCGCTGCCAGTTTAGAGTTGTGGCTTCCTCTCTGATGACGACGGACTGAGCAACAACGCAAAGATATCGAACTTCTTGAAATTTGACTGTTTTGTACGATATTCCAACATTGAATCGATAATTAATAGTTAATACTCTAAACAAAGTTATATTACCATTGACAACTATGGCTTGGCTAGGCCTAGCTACGATGAATCAAGGCACTCGCAAGAAATTAGTACTGAGGCTAAATCAAATTTTGCCTTGGGTGCCTTTTTATACTTCAAATTTTGGCCTTGGTGCCTTTCCATTTGGCCATGGTGCCTTTCAAAATCATGTCATACCGGAGGCCATTTGGCTTTGCCCATAAAATCCCCAAATTCGAGGCCTAGCTATGTCTTCTACTACTACTTTGTTGTGTCCATCTCCGTCCTGCTACACTTTGTCATCCTTCTGTTTGGTATATCACATGTGATATTTTTTTTCTCAACCCCTGGTATGGTCTCCACAAAATCCTTAAACACTTAACTTTTTTCCTTATGTAATAATCTTTGGCAATATTTTGCATATGTTTTTATGATTGCATTTTACTTTTTTTTTTATAGTTAATTTAGGTGGATCTGCGAGTCTAGATTGGTTACAGAACTTGGACTTCCTGAAAGAGAGTATTCGAGCAGTGGGTACTGGTAGCTTTAATATTTCTGATATTGACATGTCACAATTTCAAGGTTGGTATATACATTTTTTTCTAATTTGCATACAAATGTGACAATTTTAGTGTTAAGAAATCAAACAAAAACAAATAAAACTTGTGCTTTAATCAACCTTCAGTCAATCATGCTAATCCATGAAAATATAACAAACTTAAATCGAACATGTAAGAAAACATTTAAGAGTCTTTAAAACATCCTTTAAAGCTAAAAACATTGTTTTAAACTGAGAATATTTTTGTCAGAGCCAGGAAAATGTTAGGTTGCACATTGAGAGAATGTAATCGCTTTTTACTTACTGGTGGCGCTGTTGTAAGATATATAATTAGAGCAGTATACACATTTATGATTGATATTAAAAGGTAACTAGAAAGATGATTTTTTTTTTTCTAGAGGAGATTTTTGGTATGTCACTAGTAATAGAATTAACTTCAAAATCATCTTTTTGGCAATTTTGTTTTATGAGGTTTTAGGCCATTATGGTTTTTGCCCCTTTAGCAGCGTAATGTCAGTGTAAGCTACTGTAACCGAAGTTTCTTTTAAGGGAATCTGGTTCCATCTGCATATTCAAATTTAAACATCCTTTAGCTCTCATCTGATTGGTATGCAACATAAGGCCCTACCCAGGCTATCAAATTTTATTTGGCAAAACACTTGACATGCCTAAATATCGTCATGATAATATCACATCATGACCGTATATAGGCACAGCATGGGCCTACAACTAACAATTTGATAATCTGGACTGAGCTTAATGCCTTAGCTTCATCAAAAGTATGAAGAATGTATTAATGTTGTGAACACAAATGTGCCACTATGTCAGTTAAGGGATCTTTTATTTTAATTCAGGCTTAATGGCAAGCATGAGGCAAGCAGACCAGAAAAACTGGTCCCTGGAACCAGACCAGTTTGCTAATCTGGCATCCTCTCTTAGTCAGTTCTTCCAGCAGACCGGCTTGCTTAACCAGAGTAACGGAAGCAGTAGTCTTAGTAACAGCATAGCTAGTGGTATTTCTAATACAGGTAAGTAGCTTTATTACTTTTAGAAAGTTGATTTTACTGTAAAATCTTTTTTTTTACACTGGTGTGGGGTAATTAAATAATAATAATACATTTATATAATAAGGAGCCATTAAGGCTCATAGGGGCTAGAGCTAATCCCGGTTTCTGTAGCATGAAGGTGATGAAATGCAATACTCTCCCTGGATGGGACACTAGTGCATCTCAGATTAATCCCAGCAACTTTGCTGGTACATTATTTATACAGCTGGGTAGACTGAAGAATGGGTTTTCTTCGGCGCAGTAGCAGGCAACCCCACCAAGTACCTGTTTATGCTTCATTGTGGAAGAAGCAATACATTTTTCAAAGACGCAACCAAAATTAACAGCGGAGGTTTGAACCTTTCGACCTCAAGGTTAAAAGCCTGGTTCTGCTGTAGTTTCATTTTGCAATTGGAAAGTTTCAACTTTCTGGTAGATATAAAGTAAATATTTTTTATTTTATAGGTAGCCCATATTGTAACAGTCAACGAAGCAGTTTATCAAGTGGGTCTGGGTTTGTCTCGCCACACTTGCTCAGTCCCAACAACAGCTTGACAGCAATAACACATCCACACAGCCCCATTCACCTCCAACAACAGCCTGCTGTGATGGTACAATCAGCCATACCCCACCAGTATGTGAAGGATGACAACGAAATTGAGGACACATTCGATTGGGATAGTATAATCTAATTATTTTACTTGTAAATGTGGTTTGACAAGCTAAAGAGTATTTGCAAGTAAAGTGAGCACAGTATCCTTATTTTGTAGTACCAGCACCAAAACCCTTGTACGTAGCTCAATGGTGGCGCTAGGATTTGCCCAACGGGGGTCTGAGGTCCCCAACGGGGGTCCCGATGTCCCCCGACAAAAAAAGCGGGCGTTACTCAAAAACTCTCGAAAGTGTTCCAGGGGTTCGCCCCCGAAAAATATGACAATTTAGGGATTTTGAAGGCTTATTTATTTCCAATCGATTTTCGAGTCTTAATAATATGTAGAAAATTTACACATTTTTTTTCCCCCTGACGAATTGGGTTTTCTCCTTGCCCCCGCTGGCGCCACCCCTGACATAGCTATGGGAGGATGAACTCCCATATAGAGGGCAATAGTTATATCAGTTTTTAGAAGCGAATGACGTTTAATAATTCTAAACAACTGCACTTACATGGTGACGATGGCAACTTCCAAGACGAAACTAGGAAAGTGATATATTTTCAAACTGGACTGTTCTCTCTTTCCTTTAAATACTCTTTTGCCAAACATGGGACAAATTGGAGGATGAATAAGTAGATTAGTAGATGGATAAGTAGACTTAACATTATTCTATTTACATCATTCTGATCACTTTCAATATGTCCCTCCTTTACTTCTCGATACCAATTATTATATTAATTATATTATTATACCAATGTGCAAAATATTAAGAATGTTCTTATACATAAACAGACTTTATCATATTACATACAGTTTGTGTATGTATAAAGACTTAACAATAGCCATTGATCCACTTGTAAATATATCTGTAAATATTTTTTTACATAATTTTTATGTTTCATTAATGATTTTCAGTACTTTATTGATTGTAAATGACAATGTAAAAGAATCACAAAATAGCTGCTATTGTGACCACACCTTGTAATTAATTAATAATTTGATTAATACTAAATTTGTATCTGTTGGACACCTGTATTTTGATACTGTCATAAAATATTTTTATTATAACAAAATTCTACATAATTTAACACAGCTAAAATCAAAAACATACTGTACAAATTTTAAGGTAACTGTTCTGTAGAGCTAATAATCTTGAACAGAAAAACAATATTTCAACTTACTAAACTTTCAAATTCAAATTTAAATGACATTTATTCACTTCATTACTTTACATTAGAGAAAGAAAATATTTCACTCCAATTAACATAGATTTTTTAAAATATTAATGTAAATATTTGCACTTATTAGTATATTTTCCTCCTAATGAACAGAGATGCATAAATATTTATATTCCTATACTTTTTTATTTTTTTACTTTGAGTGTTTTCTATATTTTTTACTAAAGACAGTTTATCTTAAAAAAATCCCCCAAACCTTAAAATTATATGAATACAGTACCTTTAAAATGTGTTATTAAGGTGAATGAAGACAGATACAAGGGATAACAAAAGATAATAAAATAACCTCTCTCTTAAGATTGAAAATTTAGACGCCTGTTGCGACAGTCAGCGAAGTTAACCCAACATGATCACTGTATATAAATAAATATTCCTTTTTTTTTTTTTTTGTAAATAATATTCAATGCTTTTAAAATATGATCTATTATAAGTGTTCAAAAGCATCAATACAATATCTATTTTAATTACAAAATAATGTGTATTCGGTGTGCCCTTGTTGTGCGTGTGTGTTTGCGTGTTTTTACGTTTACTGTTGTTAGCCGTTGCTAGATTACCGAGTGACTGTTGTGGATAGTGGATGGACCTTTTTGCTAAGCCCTGCTGTGCCTAGGAAATTATTGCTAATGTTCCACTAACCAATAGTGTCATTTGCAGCTGAATTTGCCAATACAGTACTGGTTGTGCTACATGTATATATTCCCTGGTCCCCGGTTTTGAAAGGTCCATTGTTCTTAGACTTATAGAAAGAATTATTTCTGTTATAAAATTGAAATAAAACTTTTAAATTTTATAAATAAAATATAAGACTTCAATCATGCAATTCAAAAATTAAATATTTTATCTCTCTCAGATGTTAAGTTTATAATGTGGCTCTCCCATTACTTGAGGTCATAAATGTACACAAAGCCTGTTTTAAACAAATATGTATATGCCATACAGCACTTTAATACCTGAAAGAGCTTTTTATTGCATGAAAAGATCGACCCATATATTTTTAATGAAGTTTTATCTTATCTTAATGATAGATGTTTACAATTTTAAACTTACAGGATCAAAATTTATTGATGTCCTCTTTGTTGGAGAGCCAGTTAAAAATCGGTATCATCCGTCCAATTTAAAACCAAATTGCAAATTGCTATCATGTGGCTAGACAGACTACTACTTCTAATTAATAAATCAGTATTAATCATGTTAACGATGATAATGATATAAAAGGCTGATGGGTGGTTTTGATGAAATTGACTTTTCACAACTGCAGAGTTACTTAAAAGAATATTTTTTAGAAACATGCATTTTAACAAACTACAGTTGTTTAACATATTTGATGTTTGTATGTACCAGCGGTAGGCCTAATTAGTATGGATCTCCAAGCATGTTGCTAATAAACAAATATCCTCTTATATTCCTGTAAATCTGTTTACAAGTGTATTACTTCGAAGACAAAAAATCTAATCTTAAAAAGTGTTCTGGTAAAATATAAGGTTTATTTTTTTGATACATAGGTTGTTTGCATATATTATTATGTTTAAATAACATATAATGAACGTTACTCCGAATATTGGGTTTCGACCATTATTGGGTCATCTTTAGGAATGAGAAAACTTTCACAGTTATTAGGTTGTGTATGTATTATACAACACTCCAGTATATATAGTGCGTTCTAATATGTATAACTTTTTAAAATTAAGACTTATATTACTGAACATTTTTTGAATTCTTGCATGCTTAATGCACTTTACATTGACAAAGTTTAAAACGTTCATACAGTACATAATGTGATTATTAAGTACAGTATTCCAAATAAGTATCATTACTACCGTTATACTAAAATATTCAAGCATTTTAATATAGCTTATTAAATTGAAAAATGTATTCATGTGAGCATATGTACTTAAAACAAAACTATTACTGCTAGTTTCGTATCTGATGTTTAGGACTACATTCCATGCTCATACTGTACTTTAAACAATTTAGAATCATGAGTCACCTTGATAATGTTTTCAGATGATTGATGTTTTTGATACAGATTATATAGTCACTTATAAAAACTTGATAAACAGTGGCATATCTAGGTTTAATGTGGTTTCCTATATGTTCCCCCTTTGAAACATTTCTGGTTACATGTTATTTAAAGTAGTTAAAAATTCCATCATAACTCATGACTTCCCCAGGCAGTTCTCATGTTCTCATTTCCCCCACCCCTATCACACACATTTTAAAACACCTAGGTTAGCCACTGTCAATGGGTCATTATTGAAAAACATTTTATTATAAGAACATTTTTATACATTCATCAGATATGATTTGATAAAGGTTTGTTCCGATCAAGTTCGCATTAATATAATTGTCAGATTATCCTACCTCTGTTGACCCCAGTTATATAAGTACTAATGAGGGTCATGCATGTTAATTTTCATATCAGTCTTTATTTGACCTCTTACTAGGTCCAGCACGACAAGCGATTCATAATTGAAAGCATTGCATGTATCATCACGCAAATTGCGGCAGTATTGTGGATATAATTACAGTATGCGCCATATTACCCGGTGGATGCGCATCAGTTTTTAACAGTAACACTATTATGAGTCGCTTTGTCATTAGAGAATGGTTTGCCTTGCGTGTAATAATGAAAACCACATGTCAACATTTTCCTTAGTCTTTTTATGGTATTCCGTCCAATTTGTAAAACTTCTGTACATACATATTAATACATTTCAGATAGAAAAATATATATATATGTAGGTATATTGGAAAAAAAATGTAGATCCAACATTTGCACGTTTTGATGAGTAAATTAACGTGAACACTGTTTTACCTTGAAGATAAGGTTTCAAAATAGTAAGCTAGTTCCAGATACCATTGAGTACCACACATGCAAGATGTATGCTCTGGTACTTCTCTGGTACGGTCATGGTCCTTAAAAATATTTAATATTAGAATGCTTTTTTAATTTATAGATGTTTTCATTTTTCTGTACTACACTGTGTGAAGGAAAAAAAATAAATACACTTAAAGTACAGTATTTTAAAATGTTATTGGTCTGTTGTGTGTTAATGCATCATTCTAGCTCATTTGCTACCCGGTTAACCGGTGCCAGCTACCCTTATCTGTCCACCTCAAAGGTTTTCTTTGGACCATTAGATCAAAGTATGTACTGGTTCATTAAAGAGTAGGAGTATTTTTGCTTGAATCATATATAAAGGCCTCAAGGATATCCTACGGATAGGCCTAACCCGCTAAATTTAAAGACTTATTTCCAGTGGGGGTCCTTCTGGTAGAGAATTGGGCAGTATGGTGTGAGACAATCTCCTACTCTGTTCTTTGACAAGACCAATGACTTCATTTGAAAGACGGTGCACTATGTAACTTGCATTTCAACAAAAACGGAGAGCAGCAGATGAAATGAAATGCTGACGCAGCCCGACGCGATTTGTTGTCGCGTCGGGTCTGCGTGAGTTGAACGCAGTCGCGATGGTGTGCGTCGGGGGCAGTCGCGTAGTAGAATATTAAACGTTAATATTAAAACTATGGAAGGCAAACGCCGCCAAAAATACAATTACAAACACACAACGTACTAGCACAAACACACAACGTGTTAGCACAAACACGCAACGTACTAACTCAAACACACAACGTAGGCCAACACCGCCAAAAATACATTTACAAACACACAACGTACTAACTCAAGCCCACAACGTACTACGACGCAGGCCACAACCGCCAAAAATACAATAGGCATTTTTCGTTTTGACTACGCGGCCAGTCTACTACGAACTAATGGACCGTGACGGCAACGCCAAGACACTGTTCGCGTACTACATCAAGAGCTGTTTTCGTTTTTTTTAAGGCGACTACGACGACGCAGCACACGTACGTAGGCCTACGGAGGGGAGTTAGTCGACCATGGTTTTAATACCAGAGAACAATGTTCTCTTGTTTTATATTTG